TTACTGTGTATATATTGTATAAAAAAATAGGTCAGATCGGTTCATTTAAACTCATTTAATCGATAAGGTGGTCATTTATTAGGATGATGATTTCGTCTATGTGGGAAACATTAAGAGATTTAAACTATGGGAATAAGGTTGAAGTTAAGCATCGGTCTCACTTACTCCCGGCAGAGCCCAGGACCATCCCGATAAGTTACCGGGATGATCCGGGACGAAATTATTGTTGCGGTCACACTTACCCCGGCAGCACTACGGTTGTTCCCTACTAACCACCCAGGATGCGCTCCGGATCATCCAGGCAGAGCCCAGGTGAAGCTATGGTTCATGCCGGTGCTTCCCCGGTCGTTCCCGGATGACGCCGGAAGAGCCCCGGTTGACCCAGGCAGAGCCCCGGTCGATCCAGGCAGACCCCCGGCAGAGCCCAGGACGATCCAGGCAGAGCCCCGGTAGAACCCCGGTGGATTTAAAACGCCCGAAAATGATAACATTGATACATAACTTTTATTTAATATACAGTAATAACTATTGTTCCAGAATATTAATTCATGATGATTTTCTGAAAAATCCTTATGCCATACTGGATAGAAGGGAAATGGGAAGGGTTTTTAATACAAACAAGTGCAGTCATCGCAAATTGTCGTTATTCTTTTGAAATGATCCGGGCTTTGCCGGGGCTCTACCGGGATCAACCGTAGCTGTACCTTTTTCCTCCGGGGCTCTGCCTGTAATTACCGGGGCTCTGCCGGCATGTACCGGGGCTCTACCGTAGCTGAACCGTAGCTCTACCGGCTATATCATACCCCGGATCATCCCTGGTTTGTGCCGGCAGAGCTACGGTGCTTTCCCGGTATAACCCCGGTCGTTCCCGGCATAGCTAAGGATGAAGCCGGCAAAGCTATACCTTCCCGGATCATCCCGGACCACCCCGGTGATATTAAATATTTTATTCCATCCGGGGTCGAATGCCGGATGTTCCCGGATCATCCTGGATCATCCAGGACGTTGCCGGCAGAGTTACGGATGTACCCCGGTTGTTCCCGGTCGTACCCCGGTCGTTCCCGGATCACCCCGCACGTCTACCGGGGCTCTACCGGGGCTCTGCCGGGATGTAAGTGAGACTGTAGCTTTATGTAGAGCAAAAACTGATGATCGACTAGATCAAACATGCATTGTACATGTATACATGTATAGTGCGTTCTCTAAAAAAAATGTTTATTTATAACAGATGTTGACACATGCTACATGAATTCCTTTTTTTAAGGAAAAAAGCACAATTAACCCGGATCTGTATTATTTAATCGTTTGTCTGATTTATCGTTAGTCTATTGTTGTATATATATACTCGTATAAACAAAGCACATGTGTATAAATAAACTATTACATAAAATTGGCATACTGCATTTATTCCAAAAACATGCAGCTCTAAATCCTGTTTACTTTTTTACACAACACGTACCCAAACCGGATAACTCTGTTTATATCATACATAATGATAACTTATTCTTTTCTAAGTATAACTGACCACAGAGTTAATTGTGATGTCCTTGACAACTTCTTAACTGTGAAGATTTTTACGTAACGGATGTTACAATACTCGTAAACAGATTTCTAAAGAATAAAAGTCATAATACAGTTTGCGGAAAGTATTTAGATTATATTCGTCAGAATGATCACTGGTGACAACAGCTATTCAACTTTAATTTCCGTTTCTAAATTACATACGGAAATCACAAATCAAGAAGACGTATTTGCATTATGAATTGTGTGAAACTGATCAGTAACGGGAAATATTGGTATGAAGTACCCTAAAGACCAATTTTATGCACTTTTATGATATCAGATAACGTTCAACCACTGCAGAACGACCTGCTCTGGAGAGCAACCACCCGTTATAATATTACCCCAAAGTAACACTTGAATATATATCCAACGTCTCTAGCACACAGATCAATGTCTTTCAAATAGAAAATGAGCCGCGTCACGACATGACAAAACCAACGTAATGCGTTTGCGACCAGCATGGATCCAGACCAGTCTGCGCGTCCGCGCAGTCTGATCAGGATCCATGTTGTTCGCTTACAAACTCTATTACAAATAGAGAAACTGATAGCGAACAGTATTGATCCTGATCATATCAAAGAATAGAAATATGTTAGTAATCAAATTATGGTTCATTATTCATATCAGAGACATGTTATTTTCTGAATATAATTGCCCTGGTTATGTTATGGCATACATGTACAGTCAAACCTGCGAACAAAGGCCATCCGATTAAAAGACAAATAATTATCTATAGACAAATGGTCTTTATTTGGAGGTTACGTTATTCCATTTTATCAATGAAAGCTTATCAAAAGGTGGCCTGTATTTTCAAGGTTATCTTTATTCAGAGGTGGTGTTTAAAACACAGGTTTTACTGTTTATATTATCATAATTCTAAAACATACACGGAGAACATGATAAATAAGAATAACATAGATAAAATTTTAATGCGACAAAGGCTAAAATACAATTATGCTTCTACATGTAGATTTGAAATCTTTTTTTCTCAGAAATGGGTTTATAGTTCTAGTAAATTAAACAATAATCAAATAAGACCTCAGTGAACCAATAATAAACTCGAAGATTTGACCAGAATAGTTGTTTACAAAATTTAAAATTTCGTTTCCAGCATAAAATTGTCCGGAACATATTTTGCCGAAATAAATCAAATCACATGTTCTTGCTGAGCATTTTATACGTTTTTTCTGTACCTTTACATGTGACGAAGTGAAAAAATCTTGCATAAACATCTCTAAATCGAATGACAGAAATCAAGATACAATAATTTGCGAGTTTCAGTATTTTCTGTTTAAAAAGAAAAACGGTTTACTTTCAAACAAACAAAATAAACGAATCCATTGCTAAAGATTAAGACTATTTTGAATGCGAACTCTTCAAAATTTATTTTTAGAAAAAAATGAGATACGACTGACCTACTGAGCGTCTATTAGACACTTAAAAGAGAAATCTTGCTCATCGATGCGTAAATCTGTAGGTGTACGGGTAAAAGTCAAAATAACTTTACAGTTTGCCATAATTGCCCTCAATTTTATAATTTACTTCGCATGAATAAACAATCATTTAAGTGACTTTTGAAAATTTCTATAAATATACTTCAAAAAATTAATCGTTCACTTTCAATTTATTTTTATGTTCTATATATATAGGAAGTGCTGTTTTTGTATTTTGTCTTAAACATGTGCTTTAACATCAGCTTTAAGTCAGTCACTATCATAAAAGTCAATCTTTTGTAATTTGGAGCTGATAACGCTCAACTTTGAAACTGAAAAAAAGTGAGAAAAAATGTCACTTAATAATACTAATGCTATTAAAAGTGTTCATTAAGATTGCTTATAAAAGATTCTTTATGCCTTTTCACGACGTCCCTTAGCCAGGTAAAACTAGTGACATTTGACCGAGATCATCATTAACCGCCCTTGAAGGCCCATTATGCCTCAGAAATGCTTTTATTTCATTTTCCAAAAGCTTTTTTTCTATTTTTGGCGTACTTTTATAGTTTCAAAAATGTTGCTCATTGGCCAATTACCTTCTTCTGTTGCTTTTTGGCAACTATTTAACTATTTCAATGTTAAAACTAAATGATACACGTTTTTAGGCTGGACAAAATGCAAACGAGACCAAAAAGAAAGGCTACCTAATGAAAATAATTATACTAATACTAATGATGATGATGATGATAATAATAATAATAATAATAATAATAATAATAATAATAATAATAATAATAATAACAATAACAATAACAACAACAACAACAATAATAATAATAATAATAATAACACATATACATATACTTTTCAATGATTCGAATGCTTAATATTCAGTCTTTTGCAGACATGTATTTAAAAAGACCCTAGACTATGCGCATACTTTACTTGCTATGTTTTTGTTCATCTAAAATGAACATCGAAATATAACGAATGTTATTTATGTATCTTAGCTTATAAAAGTTGTATTTTACTAGAAAATACACTTATTTCTTTTTTACCTTATCTAATAATCACTTCAATAAAAAAATGGTTTGTTTATATTTCGCCATTTTTTTTAAATCTCAGTGGCAGTAGATTTATAATCAGTATTTAGAATGATAGTGATACTTATACTACTTCTTATAATCTACCAAGCCAAACTTTTCTAAAATAGTTACGTTAGTCATAAAGATTAATAAAGAAAACAAACAGCGCTAGGATATCATATCTATCTGTAACATTGACCTATATTCAGGACAGACTGCATGGTTATGTCTGATTACGAAAATACAAACTAGTCTATAGACTAAAGACAAATTTTCAACATAGTTTCGGATTTATAGTAAATGCGAGGTCAGCTGTTCATGTGAACATCGAATGTTCTCCGCCAATTGAAAAATTTACCGTGGGAATTTTCCACTCGGTTTAAACCGCCTTCCCACGAAAATAATTGTTTTTTACGGATAATTCTTTATATGGTCATATTCTTTCCGGTACGAAAATAACCGACGATCGGCGAAGACGTCCGATCATTCCATAAAAGGATAGCAAATAACCTGTTTATTCATGCGTCTATTGACGTCAATCGATGGAATGTGACCTTGTCCTTCCATAAAAGGCAAGCCTTATTCCGGCGTAGATAGGTTGTAGTAAACGATACTATTGATGTTTTCTCCAAAAGTAAAGCGAAATAGAAATCAAAATGAAGAATACGAATGCAATTTTATCTAATCTTTGTAGTTCTCATTCGTTTTTTCTAAAAACCAGTCTAAAATGTGCATTTAATCGCGTTAACCTACTTTTTCGTCGTTAGTCTTGCAGTGTAATCGGGATGTACGTCACTATTGACGCACTTGTTGTCATGCGCATTACAACTAAACGAAGCCTCCTGATTGGCCGTCGGTTTACTACATGTTCCAAATAAGGCATTAGCGTAAGAGAAGATTTCATTCATAAATTTGTGATACGCTAGATCCAGTTCATTCATAGATTTTGAGAGTAAGCGTAAAGTTGGTAGATGAAAACAAAATACTATTAACTGTTAAATGTTGGATGAATATTTTGATGTTGCATAAGTGAAGTATTATTTTACAAGTTGGATAATACAGTGAATAACACGGAACCTTCCGAAATGATTATGGACGGTCTTGACACCTTGTCGCAGGTTGCTTTAGCAGAAACTGTTTGCTTTGATAGTTATCATGACGCGGGATTTGGGTCTTTTAGGCTCCCTTCAGAGTCTATTGAGGAACTTAATACCCCTGTTACTTCATCTTCGGATATGGCATTCTTTGTGGATACCTTGGATCCTTTACCGATCACAGCTTCTGGTAGGTTTTTCTTTTAAAGAACACTTTTGAACAAATTGAATCAGCACTTATATTCGTTGAACAGCTGATCGTCTGCATTTGGCTTTGATTGTCGTTTTATTTGGTTGTCTTTCGACAGTGACATTTCACGATAATGATACACTTCAATGTTGACATTATCACTTTGTTTATTCTATTCAAATGATAAAACAATTGATGCTTTTTACGATTATTTTGCATGGATTCACTTTATACTTTGAGAACTCTTGTTCTATTTTAAGACTGCGTACGTCATAGGCAGACAAGCTAGATTGTTGGCGGTATAAAACCATTTGTGATTTTCATCGTTTTGTTTAGATTTTATCATTACTATTTGATGGCAAATTATGTAAACAACTATTTGGTGATTTAGATAGTATCAATGTGGTTTAAGACGTTGTAAAATTGTGCATTTGACCATGAAACATGGTTAAAGCGCACTCAGATAGGAATTTCGCTTACGTCAAAGAGGCGGAGCTTAACACAGCTTGTCCTAATTACATATGCGTATGACGTCAATTGGCGGTGATCCCCGATAGCTGTTGCTATTTTAAGCTTATGATCAATTACACTGACGCATATTTGATACTAAATACTACGAAGAGTTCATTCATAAATTCCGTTGCGCTTTAGCGAGCAAAAAGTAGTTATATCACTGACAATGAAATTTCTCACAGAGTTGTCGTTCTTTACTAATCTAAGTATGGAGGTTACGCGTTAAAATAAATAAATAAATAAATTAAATAAATAAATAGATAAATTGTTTAGAGCATATGAAAATTATTTCAATATTTAAGAAAGATTAACATATCTAATGAATGATTTTATTTTATAAAAATAAACAAAATTTTATGTAAACAAACTTAGATATACTGATTAAAAAGTATATTTTTCTAATACGAGTATTAACTATTTTCAATGTTTAAATAATTAATAACTGACAAATATTTACTGTTTTTTAATATGAATTTAGTTTGTTATATTTCTGTTCAATAATATTTCATATACATGTATACTAATATATAGATACATATATGCTGTTTTTAAACTATTTACAATATTATTTCATTTATATTTTCAGCAACACTAGAAGCCTCGGTGAATCTCCCGGAAAGACTAACTGAGACCCTCTTCAATATCAGGCCACAGACAGCACAGAACAACAACACTAACAACATAAACAACAACATTAGAGGAAACACATGTGCATCAGACGCACAACATAAGGGCAACTACCCACAACAACTCCACTACAAAGGCACACTGGTCACCACATCCGTGACCCCAACATCGGGTAGCAATGATCCTTCACAGAACCTCAACTTCTTCGCACCCTTGTCGCCATTCTTCAACATTTTGTCGCAGACAATGCAGGGCGCACAAGTTCAAGCACAGGTCCCGCAAACATCATCATGCGATATGGCCTGCCATATTCAACAACAACAACAACAACAAGCTGATTTCAATGCTATCATTTCAACACTTGCAGATTGTCAGCAAAGTGGGTCTGGTTCCTTGTTTAGTTCGGCGCCGACTACACCATCACAACAGTCAATGGCTGGATCCCCGCCACCAGACAACATTAGTATGGGACAACAAAGTCCGTGTGACCAATATTCCACAGGGTTTGCTTCTCCGTTGACCTCACCGGTTACACCAAGTTCAACTCAATCCACACCTGAGCCTCAGATGCCCGTATGTAGTGAACTTGACATAGAGCAAGCGTTCTCTACCCCACCACCACCGTACACAGCTCCAAGCGTCTCATATTGTAACTTTCAAGTTAAACAACAGAAGCCGGTGTTCAGTTGCTCACAACAACAAAATGAGGCTACCCCGTACTCAACTGGGAACATGAGTGGACTTAACTACCCCAGTTGCACGGGAGTTAATGTAAACGCTCAACAGACAATGCCACAGTTTCAATCTAGTGACGTCACATATCATTCACAGTCATCAAACATTGGTGCTAATTTCAAATGTACAATACAAGGCACAGTGACAGGTGTGCCACAAGTGCAGTCGCACTTACCTGATTTTAGCGCGTTACAGCAGACGACAATTCAGCAGAGATCGACGAGCGTTACACCGCCAATGTACAGCAACGTTCCAATAAAAACCGAACCTGGTAGTGAACTATCTAATGACTCTTCTTTCCTCTTGCCTTCTACTCCACAAATGAATTTTGATCAAAGTTCGTCATCAAAAGCACAACTCCATGGAATCTTAAATCAGCCTTATCAACAAGGTCAACTAAAACTGCTACCGGTGAAGCCACGTAAATACCCAAATCGCCCGAGTAAAACGCCCCCACACGAGAGGCCATACCCGTGCCCGGTGGATAGTTGTGACCGAAGATTTTCGCGTAGTGACGAATTAACGCGCCATATTAGAATACATACTGGACAAAAACCATTCCATTGTAGAATCTGCATGCGCTCTTTCTCGCGCAGTGATCATCTTACTACGCACGTGCGCACACACACTGGCGAAAAGCCATTTTCATGTGACTCTTGTGGAAGAAAATTTGCGCGCAGTGACGAGAAAAAAAGACACGCAAAAGTGCACTTAAAACAAAAAGCTAAAAAAGAAGCAAAACTTTTAGCGGTTAATCATTCTTTACCGTCAACAACATCCCCGGTCATGATGGACACTTTGTCGTTTGGTATGAACACAACAGCGGCTCAAAGTGGGTCCAGTGTTCCCCACGTAGTGACGACAACGTCATTATAAACGTTATTCGTTAACATTTAGAAATCAAACTTTCCAATTTGTAAAAAAAGGTGAAAAACGGTTCAGTGTACAGAATTGTTACGTTAGAACATATTGTTCAATCAATTTTGATATTTTTAAATTTAATATTTTTTTCTAGTCATAGAAACGTTGGTATATTGCACACTAATTTGTGCAGTTTTAAAACATTTCATGATAAAAAAAAGTTTCAAAGACATTTTTTTAAATACTTTATTTTTATGTACAAAATTTACTACATTTCATTAATATAGTTGTGCTTAAAGTGAAGAAAAATGTGCTATGTTTTTAATTATTTTTTTCATTCATTTATTATTATAGATGTTAATACATTATATAAATATGTAATATTATATTTTTAGGTCATTATATAAATGTAGCGATTTTTATACAAATCGGCAATGTGCTGCGCTTAATTTATCCTGCTAACGCTTCAAATAATGCTATCTGTTTTTAAATTCTCAATAAATTAAATATTTGGCTATTAAATTCTTGAATAAGAAGTGCTATTTTATTATGGATTTGGCTGCAAAATTTCCGTACTAAAACGTTCAAATATCTCATCAAAATTTCAAGATAAGAATTTCAAGATCTTTGCACACAAAATTAAAACTACATTGTACATGTATGCTTTAAAATAAGAGCTGCTTAAGCTTAGACTATGTAAAGATTTTTATCATTTATAATTACCAAAGAAAAGAAGAAGAAAAAACACATTTTGTTATGATAACTACTCATCTTTTGGACTTTGAGATTAAATAATAGCCAAAGAATAAATTGTGTTAGTGCGCAACCGGTTTTAAGTGTGTAACGTCAATGTATTATAAGTACCCTATCTATTGTAGAGTCATTATGTTTTGTACTTGAGATTTTAATGTTAGATCTAAAAGTATGAATGTTGTTTTTTTTTTTCGTGTAACAGATAATCTTTCTGTTGTTAAATGAGGATTACATAAGGCATTTTATTTTCATTTTTGATTATTACATCTGTTATTAAGAATCTTTATTGTTATGTTTATATTTTTTTCAAATTTGACGTTGTTGTTATACTGGTTACGTATATTTTAATAGATGAATCTGTTGAGCAGAGTTTTAATGTATGTTTTTATCTTTACATCAGTTGTGTTGTAAATTGTTACTGTTTTGTACACTTAGGATGCTTTAAAATTATATGCTTTAACAACTGCAAACTTACCTTTACTCATTTCATCTTTACATGTTAATAAAAATGTCAACTTTATCTTATACGCTGTTACATTTATTATTATTAACTTCTTGATAAGGCGGTAATAAAAAAACTCATAACGAACACTTTTTTCTTTGTCACATTAAAGTATATATGAAAAACCTTTGCCCTTTAACGTCCTTGGACATTCTGCCTTCCATTTTATGACGAAGATATATGAGTGCGAAAACATTAATATCATTCAAGCGTTTAAATGTCATGACTCATCCAGTTAAAGAATCGCCCTTATTTTTAAAAGTCATTGACGTTATAGAATGGCAATAACGTGGTTAATAATTATTTTTCCTAAATCCTTTTCCGGTCTAAATTCAAATTTTCTTTGAAAAAAGAAACAAGAAAACTCCTTTCTTTCTACAACATGTTTAAAAGCTGGGAATGAAACAATTCCGTGCCTTCACATGAAGTAGGACTTAACAGGGCACCTATTTTTTTTCACACAAAATCATATCACATCATCAACATTGCAAAAAAAGTGTTGTTGTTGTATGTTTTCTTTTTTTTCTTATTTTTTTTTTTTGTAAATATTTTTTCTTGTAAACTGTTGTAACACATTTACCTGTTTCTCTTGTTACATATTAAGTGATATTTTTCGAATTGTTAAAGTTTATTTTTCTCTACCCATTGTGAAGTTTTTTGAACTCAACTTGTTGTATATGAAAGAAAACTTGTGTTTTTCTCTGCGAGTAATAAACAACAACTTTGTATAACTGAAGTCAGATGAAAGTGAAAAAATGATAATAAAAAATAAAAAAGATCACTTATTCGTTGGTGTTAACTCCAAGCCACCTCTTCAGTGACATCGTATAACATAATTAAACTGTTTTTAAAGTAAATATACAAACATACCATTTAATTTGAAATTACAAATCTCGTTTTCTCTTATACTAACGAGACTGTCCATTTTCAATGGAAAAATAAAAAAAACATTGTTTATCCATATATTTCATTCCGTATTTCCCCAGTAAAATCGTATTCAGTTGACCCTACCAGGAGACGCTGACCTTTGTTACGTAAAATATTAAATTACTTAGATGGGAAATCGCCCGGATTTTAACGCTTTAAAGAAATATATTAGAAGTTATTTTAACTCTATCCTTGTTGGCTTTGATAAGGATTATCATAATGCAAAAGGAATAAACCAAAGGACAAAATGGCCGCTAACGTACAAGGTATACCAGAGTGTTCTCGTATGACATCGTTTACAGTTACACGCGTTTGGCAGACGATCAAAGAAGCGCGTGCATTCATGTACGTGTACAGCTATAAGCTGTCTTCATGTATCAGTGACCGGTGATCTATTATATATATTTGCATGTCAGCCAAATTACATCTTGGCCAAAAACCAAAGAAAATGTGATTCAAGGTAATGAATAAAATGACCTTGATGATGATAAAGAGAGTGAATCCGTCACACGAAAAACAAAAACATGTCTGCAAGAACATGCTCATGAATATGTTTCACAATGGTCAACTCTTTGCATTCAATATTCTCGTATTTTTTACCCTACAGAGATTATCCCTAAAGTTATAGCAAACATGTCTCTTACAAAATACAACTTAAAATCAATGACTTCTGTGCGAATTTCCTAATATAGAGCTTTCACCGGCATTTACGTCTAGGAGGCCAACACGCGTCATTATGACGACAAAGCTATACAGCTAGAAATAGCAGAAACATCTCTAGCTATCGATCTCCAATACAAGTATAGCCTGTCTCTGGCCTGAAGTTTCTATTTAAAGAATTCTCCGAAGCTGATTCTGCGGCGAGCCATTCTAGATTTAGCCGGGGACCCCATTAAATAATAATATTGGATTAACGTAGCTGGAAATAGAAAAAAGCGCTGAAGAAGCAAAGCACGCGGCCAATCAGTGAAAAGTTGAGGGCGGACGTGCTCTGATGGGGCTAAATTAAGATTTAATTGTCTTGTGAAGAGTGCTTTGTGGACAATTCCGTAGATAGTTCCTTATATGGCAATTCACTTTTATTGAAGCACAAAAAAATAGAATGATTATTTTTCCTTTTAACGCTGAATGTGCATTTAATAGAAATTCCTGGTTTGTGCATTAAACAACTCATTAATTCTAGAATTTTATTCCGCATAAAGTGCCTCTAGATTAGTGCATATAAATACTGACTATGGTCTTTCTATAGAAAGTCTGTATTATAAACATTGATTATTCAATGACAAAATTAAGGGGTCAAAGCATGCCCTGATAAATATACTCCTAGTACATTGTCTTATATGCTTGGTACGAGGGCTGACTGATAAGTTTTGAGGCTTGAATGTTAGAGTTTGTTTTTGGCGGACATATTGCATTATTTTTCGATATGATTATGACCCCCTTCAATATCTGTACACTTCTTCCAGCTATGTTTATAAGAGCCTCGATGTAACAAATCGAAAGAGTCCCTTTCTTGACCGTTCAGAAAGACATCCACTTTCTCGTTTCACATCTGTCCGAAGTTGGTACCGAAAATTGCACGTTTTCATTTTTTTGGAAACTGTAGAATGTCTAGTGGCGCGAACCAGGCATATAATTCGAAAGTTCAATAAATTCCAAAAAGAGTCAACATATGTGCTTCCTCCTGGTGTACTTCAGAACTATATAAAGTCTGAGTATCCAACCAGCCGAGAGCTTTTCCGATAAGAATGAAATATACTTTTTCCCGTGAAATTCCACCTGATGTCTTTGCAACTTACCTCACCTGTCAACCTTCAGATTGGCGAGACTAAGGCGTGTAACAGTGACAGTCCGTCCAGGATGGATAACGTCCTCAAGGTTCTGTCAACCAACCACTCTTATATTCCGCTACCCTCATTTTCATTGTAGCACACGAAGGGACATATTTCCTTAGTGTTGCTAACTTGCTACCATATCTGTATTGGTGCTAGCCCTTTCTTAGGCAAATATTATATAATTGCTCGTTAAGCGATTTTGGCCATTTAGCAAGTCCATTAATTGTCTCGTTAACTTAAGAGTGCCATACTAACTGGCCAAAAGACACCGGTCTTCGGGCACACAGCCTTAAAATTTCAGGAAATTGAAGGGCTTAAATGACAACCCTAATTAACTCTTTAGATACAAGGCTCACAACTTATCAACCAACCCTCGTATTGATACTGATTATTTCTAATGGCCATCGTAATAAATAATTAACTATGTACTTACAACACTAAGGACATTGGAAAGCAACTATGCAGTGATGTATAATTTCTTGTATAATATAGTGCTTAGTTCATTGATAATATTGGACGGTAGCAATACATGTATATGCTCTTAAAACTATTTCTTGAAAAAAGGGGCGGGGGAGGATCCGAAAACGTTAGAACATTGCAAAGAATTATTACCAACATCGTTTATTCTCGGTTAAGCTTGCTAACAATTAGGCACTAATCAGAGAGAGAAAAAATGAGGTTAAACGTCACAATTACAGAAAAGTTGCGGGCGGACATGGCATAATAGGTTTTCTACTTTTAGAATACAGTCGCTAATAACAACTCTCATGTTTCAATTATATTTAACCGCCTGCAATACAAACAGGGCTATTGATTCCAGCAAATGACGTCCATTGCATGCAACCTAGGGTTTTATCCAATCAGAAACAAGTAGAGGGCGGTCACGCTTCCTGGAGATGAATTTGGCCGATGCAGCTAAAACTAGAGCAGAAGTTCTTGCGGTATATTACTTTGTTCCCAGAAAAAGTCGAACAGGCTAGTTCGATCCGTGAACCGTTTTTAGATTGAACCAGTGTCATGCGATAGCATTGTAGTGTTAGACGGGAGAATAAATTGGATTTCGATTGCGTATTCACACGTTCGATGGAGCTATTTTCTGAAACAATAAGCTGCCTCCTGGGACAGCGAGTTTACTATTATTGAACAAATGAATACAATTACCAGACGATAATACAAAAAGTTGCGGGCGGATCTGCTCTATTACGGATCTATATAGGGCTCGAGCGATAAATTATTTATAAATGTCACGCTGCTGTTGAAATAGGGTCACCCATAAAAATGCAGATTCATGGAAAAGCCGCGGGACTCTCGGAAAATGTTACCAGATTTTACGCAAATGGAAAAAAAACCTTTACGTGGGGTTGTGGACATGGCAACGTGACACTTGAAAAAAATCCCATTATCATGCTAAAATGAAAAAAAAATCAACATTGATCCTTGCTACAGATCGCCAAAATTCGAGCTTTCGTTTCGACTGCTTCATTGTGCTTGGTGCGAAAGAATTGTAACTCCATCTTTATGTCATATAGGTAACAACCATTTTGCGCTAAGCCCGCGGTTTATGCTAAGGGTCAATGACTTATGATCTATCGTTGAAATAATATACATGACATAGTTATGAGTCTTAGTAGTTTATGAAAAATATATGTTCAACTAAATTCACAATACGCGGTCAAAATCCATGAGAGTTATGGATTTTGGATCCTGACCTATTTTACCACATTTTGGTAATTTACGTTGATCGTACATACTGTTTGCAATGTGCAAATTACTTTCTTTGTTCACTTAACAATATTTAACTTTTAAAAACTCTTTAGAAATTTTATGAAATCAGCATAAATCTTGAGGCATGCTGCATTGACCAAGAATTTCAAAAAGGGCCATAATTCAGTAAAAATCCTTGTGAGAGTTATGGGCTTTGAAGCTGACCTTCAATTATGACCCTGCAGATATGTATAAAGTTTTAAGTGAATACCTTTAACCAAAATATTTCAAGAAAAAAATGTACTAAGATTTTACAAAAAGTAAAAAAGATTCAAGTAATAATTTACTTGTTATATGCAATTATTGACTGATTTTCCAGTGTTTATCATCATATTTCTTCAACACAATAAAAGCTAATTCAATTCAATTTAATGTTGCATTCAAAACTTTTACCAAGAATTTTCTAAGTTTAAAAAGACCATAATACTGTGAAACCCCATGCTAGAGTTATGGACCTTGGATAGTGACCTCCAATTTTGACCTCAAAGACTTGTATGAAGTTTCCAATGAAGTAGTTTTGAAGATTGAAGTCGCATGCTAAACTTTAACGTTCTTAAAGGGCCATAATTCTGTCAAAATCCATACTAAGAGTTATGGCCCTTGGACAGTGACCTATTATGCTCTCAAATAAGTGTGTAAAGTTCCAAACAAATATCATTAATGGTTGATAAGATATGATGTTGCATGCACAACTCAAAGCAGTGTTATACCGATGTCACAATGCTGACGCCAGGTTAAGTAAGACTGACATCTCTACTGTTCTTCAAATAACTGATGATCTTTCGCCCCAAAAGCTCATTAGAAATATCCTTACACATCCAAACCATTTGTGAACCAAATCAGTGAGTACAGAAAATATTTGCCGCCAAAGGAACGGACAAAATGGTTTAAGGGGAGCGGTGGCATAGTGGCTAAGGAACCTGCTTTTCAACCCGATCAAGCATCAGTACTCGTAAGCTGTATCAATCTGACTGTATAGACTGGTTCAAATGAACTGAATGCTTGCGTAAATAAATGTTGTTTACACTAAAATTAAATTAAATGATGAAGGATGCAGCACATATATACATCATTTTTTTCTATTACTTTAAATGTATTATTGCGAAAATGTAAATTTTAGAATGTACATTACAAGAAACAGATTAAAATAAGCTCAGAAAACGCATGTTTGAATGCTTTTGAGTGCACATTTACCATTTAAAGTTTATCTATATTTATCACATTTTAAGGATTGTTAAATGTGTTTATCTTAAAGTGACATTATGCCCATCCAAGGGTATATAGTGAGTGAACAGATGAAAGTCAAAACAAGTTTAAATTTTGCTATTATTCCTTTCAATTTAATAATTAACTTGGCATGAACAATTAATCACTCATTTGTCTCACAGAAAGTTCTATAAATACCTGTAATATTCTATTTATAAACAAGAGATCGCTCACCTGACCCATCAAATTCATCCGAGCAATTACCTAGACAAGCATTCTGACCAAGTTTCATGACAGATGAGTGAAACATGTGACCACTAGAGTGTTAACAATGATTATCCATATTTAAACAGTGTGATCAGTTTTTGACCCCAGGTGACCAATATTCAAATTTGACCTAAAAATCATCAAAACAAATTTTCAGACCATTTCCAGGATATTTGGATGAAAACGTGTTAACAAGATTTTTCTATTTTAGCTCCTGTGACCTAGTTTTTCATCCGATATGACCCATAAAGTTTGATGTGAGGCAAAAATGTGACCGCTAGAGTGTTAACGAACAAGTTTGTACGGACGACAAACGACGGACATTCAACGATCCTAAAAGCTCACCCTAAGCTAGCTCAGGTGAGCTAAAAAAAGTGGGCTTTTTATACTTTGGACAGATAAACATTTTGCAGTATCAACTGTTGGTCAATCGCCATTATAACATTCAATCTTTAAAAAAAATATAGATCTACATTTGCAGTTAATTCAGCTCAACATGACAAAGAAAATATAAGTATAATGTCACTTTAACTGTTTTCTTTTTAATCTGTTTATATTGGTTTAAAACTGTATATTGATAAAAACATTCACCTGCCAATCCCCTTCTTTGTTACCTAATTTTCAGAAAAAGGAATATGATAACAAACAAAACACAACCAACATTACTATTAAAACCAGAAAATCCATTAGTATAAACATGCGTTAGAGTTATATGAAACCCGAATGAAACCATATCTTCAACAATATTCTATTTTATCGGAATAAAACGGAAGCTTTTGAAATGCTTGCAAGTAGCAGCAAGAATCTAGTCAATTTCCTTATTCCATGACACTTATGTCAATATATTCAGTTATACAGGTAAAGCTGTTTTTTTTTATGTTTTTTCCCAGGGAAAAAACTAACCAACTCGAACTTAGGCCTGGACCTGCTAAATTTGTGTATAGCATTTTTCTGCTTTCACTTTGAAACAGTCAATCCATTTAAGGTTTAATATCAAAATGTAGAAAACTCGTGCAACTAATAGTTAATAGGGCCTTTTCCGACTGCACAAATGTACAGGTTGGCTAGTGGCAATACAAACTTCCAAATGGTTCAAGTACAGGGCCAGGCAAGCACACCAGTACAGAGGTAGGTGTTCAGAGCAGTACACAGGTAGGTCATCACACCAGAACAGAGGTAGGTAATCACACCAGTACATACAGAGGTAGGTCATCACATCAGTACAGAGGTAGGTAATCACACCAGTACACAGGTAGGTCATCACACCAGTGCAGAGGTAGGTGATCAGAGCAGTACACAGGTAGGTCATCACATCAGTAAAGAGGTAGGTCATCACATCAGTACATACAGAGGTAGGTCATCACACCAGTACAGAGGTAGGTCATCACATCAGTACATACAGAGGTAGGTCATCACACTAGTGCAGAGCCAGGTCATCAAACCAGTACAGAGGTAGGTCATCACACCAGTACATAGGTAGGTCATAACACTAGTAATGAGGTATGTCATCACATCAGAACATACAGAGGTAGGTCATCACACCAGTATAGAGGTAGGTCATAACACTAGTAATGAGGTAGGTCATCACATCAGTGCATACAGAGGTAGGCAATCATACCAGTACAGAGGTTGGTCATCACACCAGTACAAAACCATGCCTACGCAGCAGTACAGAGCTAGATAAGCAAACAGAATGAGGTCAGTGCAGCTGCAACTCTTTCCTGATGCCTGACTTACAAAACTAAAATCCCTTCACTTAACATTGTGATGAAAAGTAGACCCATTGAAATTTATATCAATTCAGCAGTAAAAAAATTGAAATATAAAATCTAAATCTTTAATGAATGTTTCAACATTGTGAATTTTTTAAGGACAAGGTGGAACCTATAGGATTGTATTAAATTAGGTCAATAGAACAGTTGTCACTTTGCAGCATTATAAATGAACTTTTTTATTTCTAAAGAAACCTTTCAGACACACCTTATTTCTACAGCTTGTCTCTACCTATTCTGTCAGATATTTCCAGAATATATAGTTTCGTTTTTTCTAAGCAAATTAAATTTTCTCACATTTACATGTTATTTATGGTGTATATTTATAAAGCAGCCATCTTACATATTTACAGGATTTTAAAACAATTTTGTAAAAAATATCAGAAAGAGCTAGAAATGTGTGTGTCCATATGACAAAGACTATATATTACACTATATTGTCAGTCCAAGGACATTGTGCTGGACAAACAAATTTAAATGCCCCAATCTCGCCCCAAAGGAGTTGAGGCATAAAAATTGCTGTTATTGTGTACCACTTGATAAAACATCTATGAAGGTATTTATGCAATACATTTTGTTCCAAGTTGAAAGTTCATCATAAAAAATCCTCCTGTATTTTTACAACTTTTATTTCCGTTTTACAGAGTTCTATAGTTTTACATTTTTTAGTTCTGTTTAACTCTTACAGCTGCAAATGCAAATTAAATCAAAGCTGTCTGTAGGATAGCATGCTGTACATGCTGTACTCAGTGCTTGATAGTAAAACAAGATTATCGATGATGTAGAATTTTCAAAAACAAAGTTCAGAAAGGGTTATGGGACATTGAAAATGACATCCGTTTCATTCCATTCCCTTCAGTAGTTTTAGAGATACAAACTTGCATGCAAAATTTAACCAAAGTGTGACACTGATGTGCAGATGAGTACAATAACTCGCCCTATTCTTGGAATAGTTGAGTCTAAAACAGAACATACCATATATCTTTGTAAAGAACCTTAAAAGGTGATGATCTTTTGGTTGGTTTATGGGAAGAAGCTGTGTACACATTACATTTATTTTTAGCTCTGGTCCGAGGCTAGTCATATTTCCTTGAGCAAAATAAGCGGAATTTGTGATTCCACGCGGACAGGCTCGGTCTACAGATTTTTTCATTTTCTACCTCAAGCAGGCTTTTAAAGAAGAAAAATCCCCTTCCCCCCTAAAAAAAGAAGTTAAAAACAACAAGTTTAGGAGGAAATTTGATAAAAAGCCACGTAAGCATACTGCAGCCTTAATCTACTTATAATCCACAGATTGCTTTCAGAATAAGTATCTGGAAACAAGTGATCTCTCAGAAACATTAAAATCAGCAAAATTGCAGATTCGGTTCAAGAATACATCAACGTGACCTCAAAAACTAAATTCCTATACCTGACACATGCCTCTTTAACCTGTAATAAGTATATACATGTATAAATTGCAGACAAAGCATATCTATAAATGCTACATAAATATCACAGGTGTACTGCAGACATAGTCAATGAAAATATGTGACATTAAACTAAATGTACGATTTATAACCTGAACGAGCCCTCCGCCAGACTAAAGGATCGTCCATTGAAAAAAAAAATGGAAACTATGGTCGACCAGACAAATTAATTCTTTTTTCTTTTCAGCAGCTAGATATTTATTAATTCTCCTACAAGTTAGCAGAATTTTCATTTTCCTTATATGGTATTTCAAATGTCAATTAAAGTAAATTTGTAATACAAGACAAACATTTTTATAGTCTATTTAAGACGCTGAGCCTAGCACATAAATCAAACAATGTTCTTATACATAAAACACAAAAACAGATTCTGCGGAGAAGTTAGAGAAAATATAATATTTCAAACAGATAATTGTCTCACAGAAATGGCAGGTAGGGTTTCCGTTTTAAATACGATATGATTCTTCTATTTGTACTGTGAATAATTTAGAGCTTTTATAATGACATATCCGCTTTTGAAGAAATAACATATAATCCATGTATTAGTTAACTACTTTTAAAACTCATTATAGTAAGGGGGTGGGATGGGGGCATTGGTTATGAGGTGTCATGTCTTTGGGTTTAAACTGGACTGGGGTCATAGCCATCATTTTCACTAATTGATATTCTCTGTAATGCAGTAGTGGCCCTATTTCCTTATTGAGGGCAACAATGGTTTGATCAGGCACTTCATCCAGCACTTTAATTCACAGTGATTCATTGAAGCAAGTTGTATGGTAATAATTTTTTTTATTGTCATATAATTTCTTATCCATTAACACCAGTTCCTTTCAACAAAAACAAAAAAATGTCATTTGTTGTCTTTTTTCTTCTTTTTCTTTCCACTTAGACCTTCAAATTGAAAACTCTTTAATGGGTCGGCTTTCCTTTTCTGAAAATAAAAACAAATAACAATTGTAATTAATAAATTTGACAGTAGTTGTGGATGGGTTGGATTTTAATTCAAGCTGAAACTATCAAGGTTAAACAGCAATTATTTCCGTTTTTTTTTTTTTTTTTTTTTTTTTAGGAGTAAAAAAATTTAAAAGTACCCCTTCTTACAAACATATCATCAGATTCAAAATCTTGCCCTTCAACGTACAACACTAAATAAAGGAAATGCTTTAGTGCAATTTGGTAAGTCAAAGAATATATGGATCTTACAATGGCTTCCCGTACAGACCGGAATATCTAGCGCTTGGTTAACTGTTAAACTTGTAACTACCGAGTTTCATCTAAACAGTTACCCGACAGCTAGATATTCTGGTTTGTGACGACAGCCGATGTTTGATTCATTTTCTTGCATATTACATATTAGTCATTATTTGGAAAGAAATTATGAATACTTACATTTTCAATTATAGCATTTTTTTCTTAAAGTATCATATGAATTTACAACTTTATTCATAACGGCAAAATGATGTCATTCTATGAGCACCATTCATTAAAGGCGCACGGGAATGACATCATTTAAAGCATTTGACTTGTCTTACATGGGGGGATGTTAGACAGGAATTTCTAGCACCGCTGTAAACAGTAGATAATCCTGTCTGATATGCAAGATATCACATTGTTAAGAGGTTGTTTTCAAAGCAATGGAGCAATGCTGCACAAACACAAATGTACCTAAAACCACAAACTTTCCATAAACTATGATTACGACTTTAATTTTATTACTTAAAAGTATTGAAAATTGAACTCAAACATTTTTATTATAATAATTAATAATCTTACAATTGTTAATGTACAATAGGCTTGCCTTCACTTTTAAGTTTGCGCCCACTCTTTGCTATTTTTAGAGGTTAATTGGTTTCAATATGAAAACATGCACTGTCATAAGACGGCATAGCTTGCTTGACTAATTTTGAATGCTTCATAGTAAAACAAGAACCTGAATAATGTAGAATTTTCAAAATTCAACAACAGCTGTTGGTAGGACAGTGCGCTCGACTAATTTTCAGTGCTTGATATTAATACAAGAGCCTGGTCAATGTAGAATTTTCAAAATTCAACAAAAGCTGTCAGTAGGACAGTGTGCACGGCTATTCTCAGTGTTTGATGGTAAAATAAGAGCCTGGATAGCCATAATTCTGTCAAGATGCATGTTAGAGCTATAGGCCTTGGATAGTTACTTCCTATTATGCTCTCAAAATAGTGTGTGAAGTTACAACCCATTCCTTTAGGTAGTTTTGGAGATACCAACTCTCATAAAAAACTATTACAGTATTAGGGATCATGGGTTTGAGCCATAATCAGGCCATGACCATGTTTCTTCATATGACACCAGTACTGGTTGGTTCTAGGAAGCAGACTCAAAAGTTATTGATATAAGTTGCAAGAACTTGTTTTGCAATCAAGCTTAAATAACTATGTTTAAACCAACCAACTCTCAGTATTATTTATTTATATTTAGTTATCTGTTATTGAGAATAACTTATTATTTCTATTTCTGTTACAAAGAACAACTGATTATTTCAAATAACAGCTGTAGGGTATTAAAATCAGTAGATAACTGAACAGGTTCCCACTGAATACAAAGCTTTTCCATAATTTTGAATGAACAGTACTGATAATCTACATTCCACCACATCCTTTGATGTAATACATGTACACACTACAGTGATTTTTCACCTTATATAACAGAGACCTATAAAAGACCTCTTCCCTCCTTAAAATCCTGTAGTCTTCCCAAAAAATCTGAACTTACATCAACTTTTTTACTTCCCGAAGTAGTAATTTTAGCGGTATTTTTTCACCAAAATCAAAAGGCTACGGCCTGTTCCAAACTGAAATTTTCTTTATTATTGTGAAGGTTTTCCCAAAAAAAATCTGAACTTACATCAACATTTTAGTTCTACTTCCCAAAGTAGTAAATTTAGGAGTAATTTTCCCCAAGATCAAGAGGTTAAGGTCTCTACCCAAATATTAAGTGAGAGAAAAAAACACATGTAAACTAGTAAATACATGTAAGAATTCAAACAAACACTTCTTAAAGGGACTCACACAGGTTTTTTTTTTGATATCATCAGACTGAAAATATTTTCCAGTAAGGTCTGAACAAATAACCTGTGTGCAAATTTTCTAACCAACCCTCATCCCATTTTCCAGAATTATCATTTTCAATGTGAAAAATGGCTCAAAAAATCTTGCAACTCAACCTGAGCTAAGAATTGCATTAACTATTGTTTTTCAATTTAACTCCAAGTGTATTTGTTTATTATCTTTTGCAGATTTTTTCGTCTTACCGTAAAATTCCTATTAAACGTCCCCGGGGGCTAAACATTTTCCAAAAGGGGGGCTATTATAACAAAATGTTTTTCCTAAATCCAAAAATCATTAAAAATACATTTAGTGTAACATGGGTTGGTAATAACATTAAAATGTGTTAAGACTTTAAAGTTCATGTGATACATTTTTGTGTGTTTACTATGAAATAAAATGGATTCTGAAGGATTTGAATAAGATTACGGATTTATTAAAGAGTTCACCACTCATGAGCAGATTTTTTTCCATATCAAAAAGCATGGGGGGGCTTTTATTAGGGGAGGGGCGTTTATTAGAAATTTTACAGTAAGTGTTTCACTTGATCCATGTAAACCTTTTCAAATTTTACGTTTTAGGCATTTTCTCCCCTGTGGCTCTCCTTTAAAGTTTATTGGCAATTAATGTACACACTTGCAGGTCATTCTGATGCTTACATGATTATTTACATGCATTTCAACCATTTACTTAAATTTAAATCATAATAGGGTATCTATTTGCTTATAGTCCCTGGAGCCAAGTCTGAGACCAACTGGTTAAGGTCATTGATTTCAAACCACTTGTCCCTCACTGCTGTGAGTTTAAATACCACAAAGAACTTTAAATTCTTCCATGTGAGGAATCTATCCCACTAGTAATGGAACATCAGTGATTCAACCAAGGTGCCCCCATGTGTGCCTGAAATAATGCAGAGGGGGTCTACCACTATCAACAAAGGTGAAAAGTCACCATATGACTGATCCATTCGGCAGACTGACTTAAATACTTAAATAAAAACAAGATATATTTGTAAAACATGTATGCCCCCTATGGGCAGCCAATTAGTCATGTGATCAGGTTATTATGCATGACTTCTGACCCAGTGAACAAAAACTTAATAAGGGTTATCTACTGGTCATGACTAGTCACAAGGTAATAATTATTGTGACCCCATAGGTTGTGTGCAGCAATTTAAGTTATTACAAATCTTACCAAAAAAAAATATGCATAAATTTTATGAATCATGTAGGCCTCATTAATGACAGCCAAGATGTTATATTACATAAGACCTTCAAATGTGTATACCAAAAGCATTTTTAGTTTAATATAAAAATATCAACCAAGGCAACTTGAGATGTTGAGTTATTGGTCAGAAACCATCTTAAAGTACAAGGTCAATTTGACACTGACCCCTTGACCCCAAAATCAATAGGGGTCATCTACTGGTCATGACCAATCATCATACCAAGTTTGAAGTTCCTAGGCCTAAGTGTTCTTTAGTTATTGATTGAAAACCGTTTTTACTTACAAGGTCAATTTGACCTTGACCTTTGACCCCAAAATCAATAGGGGTCATCTATTGGTCATGACCAATCATCATATAAAGATTGAAGTTCCTAGACCTAAGCATTCTTTAGTTATTGATCGGAAACCGTTTTTACTTACAAGGTCAATGTGACCTTGACCTTTGATCCCAAAATCAATAGGGGTCATCTACTGGTCATGACCAATCATCATACCAAGTTTGAAGTTCCTAGGCCTAAAGGTCCTTTAGGTACATGTATAGAGTGGAAACCCTTTTTAAATTCAAGGAAATGTGACCTTGACCTTTGACCCCTTGACCCCAAAATCAATAGGGTTCATCTGCTGGTCATGACCAATCATCATACCAAGTTTGAAGTTCCTAGGCCTAAGCATTCTTAAATTATTGATCGGAAACTGTTTTTTCCTACAAGGTCAATGTGACCTTTGACCCCTTGACACCAAAATCAATAGGGGTCATCTACTGGTCATGACCAATCACCATACCAAGTTTGAAGTTCCTAGGCCTAAGCGCTCTATACTTATTGATTGGAAACTGTTTTCACCTACAAAGACAATGTGACCCTTACCTTTGACCCCTTGACCCCAAAATCAATAGTGGTCATCTACTGGTCATGACAAATCACCATACAAAAATGAAGTTCCTAGGCCTAAGCGTTCTTTAGTTATTTTTTTATTGATCGGAAACCGTTTTTACTTACAAGGTCAATTTGACCTTGACCTTGGACCCCTTGACCCCAAAATCAATAGGGATCATGACCAATCACCATACCAAGTTTGAAGTTCCTAGGCCTAAGGGTTCTTTAGTTATCACTTGGAAACCATTTGGTCTACGGACCGACGGACCAACGGACCAACAAATGCAAAGCAATATACCCCTTCTCCTTTGAAGTGGGGGCAAAATAAAATAGTTACTCACACCAGAAGGCTTCTAGTCATCTTATTTCATTTAGAATAGTGCAACAGACACAGGAGAAAACAACTACTTCTTTACTCTTTAAGCCTGCTGGCAGCAACATATTCTACCTTGACTGCCAGCACAGACCAAGTTATTTTGAAATCCCCCCCCCCCCCTCTAAAAAAATGATGAAATGAATGGTTTTGTCTAGATTGAAAGATTGTCAAGTCCAATGAAAACATTTTGCTGGGGAAAGATTTACAAAATGTGCAAGATTTAAACAATAAACAGGACCTGGTTTTTGTAAATCTCATCTAAAAAGTCTTATTCATATATGAGTACAAAGGGTCAAACTAATTATGACCCCTGGATTTATAGTCACACAGTGTTACCAACCAACTTTCTCTTAAAAAAGAACCATCATAAGTTATATTGAACAATTATTAAAGAAAAGATCTTGGGAATTTTCAGAAAATAAATTTGAAATAATCAAAGTCTTATTATTTTCACAACAAAAGTTAAGATTTTATCATCTTTTTCTTTTTTTCACATACAAAAATGCATGATGCACAACATCCTCAGTAACCCGAGCTATTTACCGTATACATGTAGTATATACAGTACCGTGGGTTCTGATGAGGGATGCAATATAATGTAGTATATTCAAGATAAATTATATTGAAAAAAAAAAATTTGGATGAATCTACATTAATCATAATTACAATCGGAAAGTCATAGTTTATACACAATAATTATTATTATTCTCACAAAAAAAACAAGAGCACCGCTAGGCGGAGCATTATATGCCCGAAAGTATTTTTTTTTTTAGTAAGGATGACCTTAACCGTTGACCTTTTGACCCCAAAATCAATAGGGGTCTTCTACCCAATATGGACAATCATCCTATGAAGTTTGAACATTGTGGGCCAAATGGAACTTAACATATGCTCCAGCAACTGTTTCAGTATCAAGGTAATAGTGACCTTCACCTTTGACCTTTTGACCCCAAAATCAACAGGGGTCTTCTACCCAATATGGACAATCATCCTATGAAGTTTGAACATTGTGGGTCAAATGGAACTTAAGTTATGCATGGAAACATATTTTTCAGTAACAATGTAATAGTGACCTTCACCTTTGACCTTGTGACCCCAAAATCAATAGGGGTCTTCTACCCAATATGGACAATCATCCTATGAAGTTTGAACATTGTGGGTCGAATGGAACTTAAGTTATGCTCTGGAAACTGTTTTCACTTATAAGGTAATAGTGACCTTGACCTTTGACCTTTTGACCCCAAAATCAATAAGGGTCTTCTACCCAATATGGACAATCATCCTATGTAGTTTGAACATTGTGGGCCAATTGGAAATTAATTTATGCTCCGGAAACTGTTTTCAGTATCAAGGTCATAGTGACCTTGACCTTTGACCTTGTGACCCCAAAATCAATAGGGGTCTTCTTCCCAATATGGACAATCATCCTATGAAGTTTTGAACATTGTGGGTCGAATGGAACTTAAGTTATGCTCTGGAAACTGTTTTCAGTTATAAGGTAATAGTGACCTTGACCTTTGACCTTTTGACCCCAAAATCAATAGGGATCTTCTACCCAATATGGACAATCATCCTATGAAGTTTGAACATTGTGGACCAATTGGAACTTAAGTTATGCTCCGGAAACTGTTTTCAGTATCAAGGTCATAGTGACCTTGACCTTTGACCTTGTGACCCCAAAATCAATAGGGGTCTTCTTCGCAATATGGACAATCATCCTATGAAGTTTGAACATTGTGGGTCGAATGGAACTTAAGTTATGCTCCGGAAACCGTTTTCAGTTTTAAGGTAATAGTGACCTTGACCTTTGACCTTTTGACCCCAAAATCAATAGGGGTCTTCTACCCAATATGGACAATCATCCTATGAAGTTTTAACATTGTGGGCCAAATGGAACTTAAGTTATGCTCCGGAAACCAAATTGCTAACGGACGGACGTACGGACGGACGGACGGACGTACCAAAATTTGATGTTTATGAGGCAAATGAGCTCATAAACACCACCTGGACCAACGTCCATAAGCAAAATAAGCTCATAAAAACAAAAAATAGCTCTTAATTTTCAATTTTATGAGTTTATGTTCTTTATTTAACTACGGAATGAAGCTCATAATAATCAAATGTTGGCTCGGACGGACGGACGGACAGACGGACGCCAGGGGGTATAACATAATATGCCCTTTCGGGCATATAAAAAAAAGATAATGAAAAATTGCAGCAGATGTGTGTATGGTTGATAAAGATAATAAAATTAAGGATTGGTTTACCTAGAACTGGAGAACACAGTCGTGTGTTAATAACATCTGCAACAGGTGTCATACAGGTAAGCAGGAAACATAAAAAAGTGTTTAGTTATAACATTGTGTCAGTGTGCCTGTCAGCCGACAATATTGACAATATGTCGTTAATGTTAAACAATCACTGATTATTGCAACGGACAAAAAAAAGCCTGCCTCACATAACTTCAAATAAAATCTATATTATTTAAAATATTGAAATTAACAATCTTTTTTCAGCTTTTGAAAACATTTCTTTTCATTTCAACCTGTTTATCATCCCGCGCAGTCTGATCAACATCCATGCTGTTCCCTTGCAAACCCTATAACAAGTAGAGAAACTGATAGTGAACAGTATGGATCCTGATCAGACTGCGCGGATGAGCAGGCTGGTCTTGATCCATGCTGGTCGCAAACGCATTACGTTGGTTTTGTCGTGACGTGACTCATTTATTATTTACTACACAGCCAGCTTAGAGATGATTGATGGTTCTACTCAGATGACAACTGTTAAGAAAAAAATGCACCAAAGGCACCAGAGGTCTTTCACCAGCAGTTGAGCTAGTGACCCGAGATGACCTTAAAGGGACTCCACTGAGGCTTTTTGATATCAAGGGACAGAAATTATTTTTTTCAAGACATGTGTACCATTTGATGTAAGTCTGGACTAATAAACAATGTGCAAAATTTCAGATCACTCCCTCACTATGTTTTTCCAGATTAATCATTTTTATTGAGCAAAATGATGCCAAAATGCAACGCTTTTTACTAAAATTAAGCTAAGAATCTTAAAAAATCGATTTTCTATTAAATTCTGAGTACATGTGTATATTGTTTATCATCTTTCACAGACTTCTCCATTTTAAGCGGTTTACTTACCATAATATTTGTAAGAATTTCAAATTTTATGTATTTGAACTCTTTTACCTCAGTGGAGTTCCTTTAATAGTGTCAATTAAGGCTCCCACGTTTACAATTTTTTGTAAACGTTTACACGATTGCTAAGAACCGAAACGATACCGTTTAAACGGTGGTACTTCTTTGTACTATACTACACCATGTATTCAAGTCTCCAAATGATGACTTACTTTTTATTTACAAATAATTTAATGTTCAGGGCTCATCACGATAGAGTCCACATTGTATCCTCATTTCGCTCTTTTGAAAGATCAAAGGAGAATCAACTTTACCAATGTATTATGTCACGATTAGTGCACGGCAATGCTGTGTGGAGGGTTATTAATACCTATTTTCCGTATTTTACTTTGGAATATACGAATTACAATTGATAGAATTCATGATTTCAGGCAATGATTAAGATATTTTGTAAGACAATAGGGTCATTTCAATTAAACAGTAAAAATTAGCGTAAACGTTTTCTACTGAAAATCGAAACGAATCCTTTTAACGCGTAACCGTGGGGGCCTTAGTGTCAATGACACTTAAAACACAACAATTTTTTCCCAAATCAACAAACTGTTTTTTAACATTTTTTATATTTCTGATTTATTACACTTATTTCTATTTTTATCACAAATATCACCACTTTTTCTTTAACCTTTGCACAATAATTATCTTATCAATCTTTCAATCTGGACAAAACCATTCATTATTTTTAAGGAAATTTCAAAGTATTTACTGACTGAATATCAAACAGTGGTGACCATTATCAGATGGCATGAATGTGCCAACTCTCAGATCTTGGTCTACACTGGTCACACTGTTGTAAGTCCTTCTTTATTTCATACAAAATACTGCAGTTTTGCGTTCAACCCTGGATGTGCACATTCAGTTGCTACCATCAGGCTGAAGAGTTAAAATCTCATTTACTAGCATTTTTTTTATCTCACCTTGTACTTTAACTGTGCCTTTGATGGCCCTGTCTGTTTTGTATTTCTCTGTCTTGTCTTTTTACCTTTGCCACTCAATTTCTGTAATGTTGGTGGTACTGCAAAAAAAAAAAAAAAGAAATTGCAAAGCAAACTTGAACTAAACAATTGATTACACAGCATAAAATAAAAGTAGAAACAACCTCTGCCAGTCTATGGCAAGACAGCAAGAAAAGGGAAAATCTCTATGCCCCTCCCCCATCCCCTTAATCAGTCCAGGGAGCATAATAAAGTAACTGTATCTTAGCTCTGTTAGTGAAGCATTGGATTGTGAATCAGGCAACGGGGATAAGATTTCTGCCATTTTGATGCATGTGATATTATATTTTCCCATCTTCATAGGTAAAAGCCATACCTTTAAACTTTGTCAAAGCCACATCATGGAGCAGTTTGGTGATACAGTATTATGACTATGCTTATTTTTAACCTCAAGCTGCACGTAGACTACATGACAAATACACTAAGGTCAATCACTATCTGTGACCTTGACCTTTGAGGTAGGAACTGGGTGCTGCATGTCTGCTAATGGTGATCATGCCTCTAAATTTATTTTGAAATCCAGTCATGCATGTTAAGTTATGGACCAGACAGAAGAATATATTATTTTGTGCGCCCACACCTTCTTACGCACAAACATATGCATGCATGTATGCACATATGCATACATAATTACACATACTGGGTAAACTCTATAAGCAACCTCAACCATTGCATGGCAAGTGCATGAAAAATATCTTATATTTCTACAACAGCATCAAGCAGTGAAACAGAATTGTTTCAACATTGCATTTTACAAACTACTATTTCAATTTAGCCACTGTCGCAACAAAGAATTTCTTCCTCATCTTCTAGAAATGAGCATTTCAGCTCATAAAAGTAGATGTTTTGTGGCTCTGTACAAAAAATACATATACCGACTATCTAAGATATGAGTCACTTTCTAATTAAGAAATACGAGACTTTAACAGAGGCAATCCTTGTGATAATCATATATACATATATAGGTTTTAATAAAACTATATTTTAGACAAGTCTTAAGGATTGGTAACTGAACGGCAGACAAACTGATAAAAACATTCAATGCAATATTAGCATAAAAATGACAAAAGTGTATGCATGTTAATACATCAAAATTATCACATACTGGTTCCTAGCATCACTTAACTATTTACTCTTCCCCTGACAAGCATGTTACAAAGGAGATTCTTACATTTGAAATTTCTCAAACTAAATTATAGCAACACTATCATATGCCTATATATGTACATCAACATACATGCATTATTGGATTCACCATTATACAGTCAACCTTGTAAAGAAAGGCCATCCAAATATGACCTTTATAGACAAGTGGTCTTTATTTTAGAGGTTACTCTGTTCTGTTTTACAATCGAAAGATTGTTATTTACCGGGTGGTCCTTATTTAAAGGTGGTCTGAAACACAGGTTTGACTGCATATTAAGTTTTAATATAAGAATATAAGAAATTCACTTAAAAGCAACGAAAAAATAAAGTAATCAGTGAAAATAAAAGACACAGTATTATCAAGTCAAAAACAGCACTGGAAAATCCAACAATGCCCTTTCCCTAAGCATCGACCTAAACTAAAATGTAGTAAATATTCAATCTTAATAACTACAGTCATTACAATTAATTTACATGAAGGACAGAGAAAATATATTTCTCAACTTTTGGTAAGTACGAAATATTTTAGTGCTTATATTTTCTGATTTGATTACCATTAAAGAAATTATATTTAATGTCAATATAATGTTTAAGGAATTTGATTGAAGGACAAATTTAATATTTTTTACTGAGTTTGCATTAGTTATGTATCTGTGACGGAAAAGACACCCTATATCCAACATGTTTGGACATACAACTTGTTTTCCAAATTTTCACAACCTCTTTGTTTGCAAGTTAAGACTTAGTAGTGTGTATTTTATCCATTGCTAAAGACAACTGCTTGGCAACACCTTTTTCATGCTCCCTATGAGGTATTGACAGTCCTATAGCCCAGATAGTGGCTCATTCTTGCATCAACATGGCCTTAAGTGGATGCTCTTAGGTTGCACCTGATTAGCTGATATTCATATCTACAGCTCATTCCACATTGTGCACGGTTGGGATTTAGTATTGGTGTTCAAGGAACCCAATGCCCTCCCTCTGCAGGTAGTCCTGGACCAACCAGGCATGGTGGGGACGTGCAATATTGTCCATTAAAATAAACTGATTGCTCACATCCCCTGCAAACAGTCTAACCTGGGTGTGATGTACCTCTGACCAGTCAATGCACCTTTTACTAGCACAACTAGGTCAGCTAGTCTCAGCTGATGCCTCCCCTCACCATACCTCACCCAAACCTGTAGCAGATCCAATTACCTGGGTAGCTGAGTTAGATAGTGGGCATACTTATAAACCCCTTCAGACATAAACAATGGTATGGAACTTAATACTGCGCAATAAAGGATGACATCAACCATGTACTTTTGCCTATCACAATTTAATATAACATCAAACATGTACTTTTGCCTATCACAATTTAATATAACATCAAACTTGTACTTTTGCCTATCACAATTTAATATAACATCAAACATGTACTTTTGCCTATCACAATTTAATGTAACATCAAACTTGTACTTTTGCCTATCACAATTTAATGTAACATCAAACATGTACTTTTGCCTATCACAATTTAATGTAACATCAAACTTGTACTTTTGCCTATCACAATTTAATATAACATCAAACTTATACTTTTGCCTATCACAATTTAATATAACATCAAACATGTACTTTTGCCTATCACAATTTAATATAACATCAAACATGTACTTTTGCCTATCACAATTTAATATAACATCAAACATGTACTTTTGCCTATCACAATTTAATGTAACATCAAACTTGTACTTTTGCCTATCACAATTTAATATACAACATCTGTCTCTTGATTGTCTTTCATTCATGAAAACTATTTTGCCTATTCTTGTAACAATTGAATCTTATATGCATCATATAGATAATTCATACAAATGCAGTTGTCATTCATGAAAACATTCTCAAAATACATATCACACAATGTTGCTTGTTGTTTCAATGAAATCTAACCATCACATACTCTCTATATACTCTTTATATCACACCTTTAATTAACAATTTCCTGTCAGATTGTTATTTTGCAACCATTGTTTTTTGGCACTTCCTGGTTCTAACTCTGAACTTTCTGGAACCGAAAGTGTTCAGCCCTTGCCACAAGTATAAAGAGAGCCAGGTCAGCCTACAAAACTGTTTAGTCTGACCAGGCTCTATACTGTCCATTCTTGCATATCAGATAAATTACCATATACACCAGTGCTAGAAAAATCTTTCTTACAACCTCCATGTTAGACAATTCACATGCTTAAAATGATGTCATTGCCGCGTGCCTTTTATGAATGAATTCTGTTCTTAGGATGACGTCACTTTACCGTTATGAATGAAGTTGTAAGTTCATATGCTAATATCAGTAAAAAGTGCATAATGAGTTTTCGTTTTCTGTTCTGAAAATAATTGATATGTTATATGCAAGAAAAAAATCAAACACTGGCTGTCGGTACAAACAGGAATATCTAGCTCTCGGGTAACTGTTTGGGAACACTTGGCACAGCCTCGAGCTACATATTCCGGTCTGTACCAGCAGCTAGTGTAAGATTCTTTTAAAATTGTTTTTTTTCTGCAGACATATTTCTTTACAGTAAGTTATAATAGTGTTGTATTACATGGAAGAATAGCAACATTAACTTAATACAATAGCCAATTCCAATAGTATATTGATCGTTATTGTCTGTAAAAGGAAACTTACTTAAATATTCTGGTACATGTTTCATGTGTTGATGTGATTTGACTGTATGGAGATTCTTATCATGTCTCAGTAGCTGAAGGTCACGAGGATTGTCTTCAAAATGTGACTGAAAAATAGCAAAGTACTAGTAAGTATTGTATGACCTCAAAATGAGATAACAAATTAAGTAATGAATGCCCTGAAATTGAAACTGAGAAAATATAAACAAAACAAAAAAAAACAGCAAAAAAAAAACACCAACAAACAACCAAATTAAGTATTATACACACTCAAAATGTGACTGAAAAGTAACAAATTAAATATTGTAAACACTCAAAATGAGTCTGAAAAATAACAAATTAAGTATTGTATATGCTCAAATGAGATTTTTTTACCATGTTTAGACCACTTTGTGGTAATATTCAAGTGCTGCTTGCATTGTACAAATTACCTTCTTTGTTCACTTGACAATATTTTACTTTTAAAAACATTGTTAAAATTTTCATGAAAATTAGCATCAATCTGGAGCATACTACTCTAATCTGTATCAAAAGTCTTGCTACTACATACAAAGATGATAAGTACAGTACTAAAGCCTCAATGTTTCTCTAAAGGCTCATATGATTTTTTTTTTTTTCTCAGAAGCTTTTATTTTGGGTGCCATGTTATAATTTTCCAAAAAAAAAAAAAAAAAAAAAAAAAAAAAAATTACTCATTGCCAATTTTCTGAGATACTTTTTGCTTCAGTTGCTTTTTTTTGCAATAGATAGTAAAAGTTGTTTAGTACTTTGTATGGAAGTCAAAATTCTGCTTTATTAAACATTTTGCTACTTTTATCGTAACAAATAATTTCGCATTAAAAGCTACTTTCTTCAGGTAATAAGGATCTTACATGTCTAAAACAATTATTTAATGTCATAAAATTCAGGTTTGCCATAGCACGGGACTCTGTATTTTTTGGCGTACTTAACATTTTCTGTATGTCTGCATTGAACTTAATTGATGTTTTAATATAATGAATATTTTGTGTGAAGCAGAACGTTACATTTTTTATTGAATGAGGTCAAAGATTTTGAACTTCACTGTATATATGACAGACCGCACATGACAAAATACTAAGAGTACGCCGGTAATAGAGTTGTGTGAACAATACATAGAGTAAATAAAAAGAAGAAAAATGTTAATGGTATCTGAGGAATAAAATAGAATAATGAAACACAGTGTCTTGGATTCAAATATTTATACCTTTAATTTCTGTGAGTTTAACATTTCTTGTTTTATTTCCTTTAGTCTGGCCTCTCTCACAGCAACCCTAGTTACAGCTTGCATGGCATCCTATAAACAGATAAATAGAGGATATTACTTTCAAAATATTTATTTCCTAAATATAATTCATGAATAAATCAGTAGATAACAATATTATTTTCTGAGGCTATTTTAGTGTAATATTTGTCCCTTGACTATTTTTTTGGCTATTAACATGTACAGCATATAATTATTATGTTACATACACATGAACATATTTTAATTTATTCTCCAATCATTTTTTTTACATTACTGCAACCAGAAAAAATATAACTTGTACCCTATAAGTTAATAATATATGCATTTATCATAGAACTAAGCAATGAATCACGCTCTGTTCCTTTCTATATATGATAGTCAGTTTTCTTTCCAGTTCACAAAAAAAATAAAAAAAAATAAAAATAAAAAAATAAAAAAATTAACCATGTGCCAATGCCCTTTCTCTAAAAAACATGCCACTGATTAACCCACATGAAAGCATGTTTGTGGATGTCCTACCTTTGCCCTGTATTTGAAGCCTTCTATTTCTTCCATTTTAAACTGGTATGGTTTAAACACTGTGCCTTCATGTTCTATGTAAAGGGAGGTAATCAATGTTAATACTGCATAGAACAGTGCATGTCATTGACAAATGTACCATTTATTCTAAACTAATTCATTCCTTCATTTTTATTCTCTACTATAGTATATTAATATAGCAACTATTTTAAGTAATACAAATTTACAAAAGAAATACTTTTTCTAAAATAAAGAGAAATCAATTTTTTCACTTTCTGATATTTATAGCTTCCTACACAATCAAACTAAAATAGCAGAAAGAAATGAGTGTAAAACAGCCATTCTTACTGAATAACATTTAAAGAATTAAGATGAAAATAGTTGTTCAAGTACATAAAAAGTTAATATGAAGAATTATAGTTTGTAAGTATCCACTTTTGAGTAATACAAATTTACAAAAGAAATACGGTAGTTTTTCTTAAATTAAGAGAAATTAATTTTTTTCAGTTTTTTGTACACTCACATATTGCCTATTCAACAATAGTCTGTACAAATATGATTATCTCACAATTTATTTTAGTGTGATTGTGTAGGAATCTATAAGCTTATACACACACTATCAAATCTGTTCCTGGAATCAACCAGTATTGAGCAGTAAGCAATGTGCGTAAAGTTTCTTGCTCAAGGAAACAAAGACAGCGCTTGAACCCATGCGGCTAGCAGTTATTAGATTACTAGTCTGACGCTTTAACCACTCGGCTATTGCCCTACTTTATATCTAAGTACATGTATGAGGTTTAGTGTTTATTCAGTCAGCATCAATGAACTGCATAGCTGTATTGACAGATTTAATGGTATAAATGCTAATCTTAACAAGGAGCACTTGAGGTCGTCAATCACATGTTAAATTGGGAAGTTGACACACATTTGGACTTTACAATATTGGGTGTGATGTGACTTTTAAACGCCATAATTTTTTTATATATACATGTGTGTATAAATAACAAAAGGTGTACCAGCAGTTCCAGATAACTCTTTCTCTACAGTCTCTAATAATGGCATCTCTTTTACTGATACAAATGACAGTGCAGTCCCTTTATTATCTCCCCTTGCTGTTCTGTAAAAATTCAAATAAAACACATCAATATAACATCTACATAATCCTCTGTTTTCTTGTTTTAGGAACTGAAATACTCTTCATTTAGAAGGACAATATCGCTGATGGTAATGGATGCTCCTAAACCTCAACATTTGTCAATGTATTCCATGTACATTAGTCATCAAAGGCTGTTAGAGCAAAAGTGTAAAAAAAAACTTTTGAGGGTCATGGAAATTCTCCCAAATCTAAGTCCAAGCATACTACTTTTGTTTCCTTTTGATTTCTTCACAATATTTAACTTAAAATACATTTTTAAATTTTTCATGAAAATTTGCATGAATCTGGAGGCATGCTGCTTTAATCCCTTACTCCAATGGGCAACACTACCAAATATGAATGACATAAGCCAATAAAGAAATGCTGCATGAGCAAATTTGTAAAAAACTTTTCATAAACTTCAAATGGACTGTTCCAAGTTCAAAGCTGGGCATATCCATTATAAAAAATTTAACAGCATGTTAAGGGAAAAATGAACATTACACTTTTATAAACTGTGTTTGCTTCATATAATTAAATAATGGCATAACATTGCCTGTATCTACCTTCCTACTCTATGAATATATGCCCCGACTGTCATAGGGAAATCAAAGTTAATCACATTTGAAACATTCTGAAAATCCAGCCCTCGAGAAACCCCAAATTCTTTATCCTTCCTCCTTTGTCTGAAAATTAAAAAAACAAATATGTACCACATATTTAAGATTCCATTAACAGTTAAATGTAATTCGTAATTTCGTTCAATTATCTATGAGTATAATTTACATATATCATATCTTATAATTCAAAGTAGTAATATATGGTTAAAGGCCCAGAAATACATATATTTTTATTTCTCAAAAGTTTTTTTATTTCTGATGATTTTATAATTGTTTCTTTTAAGATATTCATTGGCCAATTTTGGAACATCTTTCACCTTATGGCACTAAGTACAATCAGAGTGATTTAGTAAAATATGTATTTTTTATGGAAGTCAAAACACTACAATGTTCTTTGTTTACATTTTGCTACTTTTATGACAAATTATTTTATATTCAGCTCTACTTTTTTTAGGTGATAAATGTCTAACACGCTCTTATATAAAATTGATTTTTTTTCGTTTCAAAGAAGGAAGTATTTATTTGTTTTTGAGGCACAATGTGCTTTTTTTTTTTTTGGTTGGCTTTTTCATCACACCAACACAGTATAGGTCATATGGCGACTTTCCAGTTTCACTGGGGGAGAAACACCTCAGGTGACCATCTGTACATTATTTCAGACACAAACGAGCACCTGAGTAGAATCATCAACGTTCCGTAAGCTAGCTGGATACATGTACCTTCCTCACATGTATAATCCAACGACACTTGTGCCCTCAAGCTTACAAAGATGAGAGACAAGTGGCAATGACTTTAACAGGGTTCCCACAAAGAAGAGCAATCAAAATTCCATGACTTTTCCCTTACCAAAACCATTTTTCCCTGACCAATAACAGCGTCAAGTTTGCACAATCTTAAAGCATTAAATGTATTTTTTATACATGTATTTCGACCTCCTCTTCCCCAAACAGCCAACCTATTTTCTCCAATTCTTTATTTTAAATTATTCAGGATAAAAAAAAAATGAATATTAGAGAGCAATTGTCATAAGCAACTTGTCTTATTTACTTTCAACAAGTATGAGTACATTTATCCAAAATTTAAAGTATTTGATAATACAAAGATGTTTCATTCCCTTAAAAATACAAAGCAGAGTTATCAATGGAGTATTGACTAAAAAATTAAAATATACGATAGTAATCAATGCAAAACTGGTGTTGGACAAGAAACAATAAGACAGGTAATGAAGTGGCTACATAAAAAGCAGAATGCATAATCAAAAATAACAATAAAGATACCCAAAATAGTGGAAGAAACTGCCTTAGCTTTTACTGATTTTGCTTCTTACTGTTTGACAAAAAAAAAATTCTGCAAAATTCTCTGACTTTTGCTTATTTTTCAAATTTCCCTGACCAATTTCAAAATTCCCTGACTTTTCCCTGACCTTGAAAACAAATCATTTTTCCCTGACTTTTCCCTGACCGTGGGAACCCTGTTTAACAACTCGCCCACAGACTCTTCTTAATGTGATTTTAATGTAATATATAATTTAGCATACTTCATGAAAAGGATGCAAATGCATCTAAAAGTAACTCTCCTGTATGGGTTAGAACTCATAACAACCATCAAAGAAGCAAATAAGCACATTGCAATAGACTACAACCAAAGACTGGATTTCCCCGACACAGCTGTCAGAGGTTGTATTTTTAACAGAGCTGTCAGTAGGACAGTATGCTCAACTATTCTCAGTGCTTGATAATAAAACAAGAGCCTAGATAATGAAGAATTTTCTTAGTTAAAAAAAATGGCCATAATTCAAACTCCATGTAAGAGTAATGGACCTTGGACAGTGACCTCCTATTATGCTCCCAAATACATATATATGTGTGATGTTTCAACATATTCCCTCCAGTACTTTTGGAGATCTTAACTTGGGACTATAATTTAACCAAAGTGTGACACAGACAACGGGGCGAGTACAACAGCTCTCCCTATTCTTTGAAAAGTCAAGCTAAAAATCAAGGTTTGTATGTGAATATGCACTAAAACATAAACAACATAACAATATTTATTTGCTTTTGTCATTTGATTACACCCTTTGATATCTTTTCAATTCCCAAACAAAGGAATGTCTTTTATAGAATTTTTTGAATTTCAGCCAGAGATTGCCAGTGACCATAAACAGTAGCTCTAGTTGCATGCTTAAACTCTGTTGCCATTTTATCTTTTATAACCTATTTATCAATTACATAGCTGGATTGTAATCAACTATTTAAGACCACTGCTTAGGTTGAATGAGATAAACTCAAGTTCCGCTTGTTTTTGCTAAAAACATACCTGAAATGGTCAAAATTTAACTAAAAAACAATGGATCATTTACTGTTTTCAAGTTATCATATTCTAACAACATCATATTCTAACAAACATTCCATCCCTGTTATTCTATTGTTCTTAAAAAGCTCACTTATATTTTGTAAAAACATGGATTCAATTCTCTAAAATTGTCACGCATTTAAACAAATTTGATCTCCATATAATTTATACACCTTCACATGACTGCAATTTGTCTGGAAATCAATTTTCTGGTTTAATTGATAAATTCGATATTTTCTGGAAATTTTACGACATTTTTCCATTACTGTGATAAAAACAATAGGGACAAACCTTGCTTAAATATCTTAATTTGTGTGTGTGTGTTATGGCTATTAAAACTACCACCCCCTTCCAATCAAAATGAATAATGACTTGTTTTTTATTTGGTCGGGCTTTACATAGCACCAGCACAATATAGGTCATATGGCGCCTTCCAGTGATACTTGTGGAGAAAGACCTCAGGTGCTTATCTGTGCATTATTTCAGGCACCCAAGTGGAACCACCGACATTCCGTAAGCTAGTTGGATAATTTCTTCACAATCATGAAAGAATCCAAAATCCTTGTCGGGATTCTAACCCACAGCAGTGAAGGGATAGTGGTCTAAAGTGAACAACTTTATCCAATCGTCCACAAACACCCTAAAAGGAATTATGTAATCCACATATTGGTTTCAAATGAATATTTTTTCAAAGACCTATCTTTTTATTTTGCTTTCAATGTATATTTAGATGATTTTTTAGCTACATATCATGTAAAACTAATTGATTCTTTGCTATATACATCTGATTCTTTGGCTCATCTGAACTGATTTCTTGCTTTATTCATTTAATGGCTTATGCTACAACTACTTCAATATTATCAACATTTTGCTTATCCAAGATTTAAATGATTCTTTTAACTAGCTACTTTTAACACATCACTGCTACATACAGTTGATTCTTTACATAATCTCATTGAATAATTGGTTTTGTAATATCTTCTTGTAATTGAATATTAGCTTATTTTGCTGTATGCAATTGATTCTTTGCTGTTTCTAATTCATTTCTAAAACTTAAGCATTCTTTGCTCGTTTATTTGATTCCTTGTTATATTTAAGTGAATTTTGCTATATTTAGCTAATTCTTTTCTATATTTAATGAGTGTATTTCAGTTTATTTATACTCGCCACTGGTTGCCCATATGGGTGAGTATTTGTCATTTTAGATTTTGGAGGATAATGCAAGATACAGATACAAAGAGATGCCCTAATTCCAGAAGCTTCTCCTGGCTCTTTAGCATACCAAGTGTTTAAGATACAAGGGACCTCGATTTAAGATCTCATCCGAAACACTATTTTAGTAATTTTAATTGGCCAGCCAGGGAATCCTCAAATGAGCTATATGGGCTAGCATGCTATTATTTAATTGATTCCTTGCTAATGCCAACTGATTCATTTTGATATTTAATTTATTCTTTGCTACACATCATTGCCTTTTGCTTTTTCTTTGCTATATCTAATTCTTTGCAGAAATTTACGCATTCTTTGCTATAACTTATTCATTCTTTGTAATATCTTTATGATGTTACTTAGATGACATTTATTCTGTTATTTACTAAATTTGCAAAATAAATCAATTTTACCTTTTCAATTTCATTTTAATTTCTCCATTACTTTTAATAAGCTCATTTTTTGAAAATAATTAACACAAGTTTTGTTTTGCAATTATTCCGACTATTAAAAAAGGCGTGTACTAATACTTGTAAGCAAGCTAATTCTGAGTGCCATGCCGAGCTCAATTAGAAAACTAATATGTTCCTACCTCTCTACATGTATCTTACTCTATAGTAATGCTAGCCATGTTTTTTTTAACAATTTGTTATTATGAAATATAAAACCTAAACACCCATGACCTTATTATTCTCCAGAAAATTCTTCGAGCATTTAAATATCTTCACAAAAAGGGCCATAAAAAACTCGGCACGACACAATTAAATATGCAGTAAAATATGATACGATATGGATATAATATGGTATCATATGATAAGCATGTATGTTGTCAACACAACAAGGTCTTTTCAAGGACATAATGCAGACAAAAACAATTTAAATCATAAGAATTATGTCACTGTATTTCATTCATAGTATGTATGCAAAATTACTATCCTTTTTTTTTTGGTGAAAGCGGATGTGATCAAATTACAGTATTACGTATTGCATACTGGGTCTGCAATTTTGATGTAATTTTGCTGATTTTTTAAAGCTTCCAAGGAATCACTTTCTTCCCAGATATTTAGAGATATATGGAAATCATATCTGACTAAATATCATTTTGATACTGACCTAAATATCCCATAAAAGGTCAAAAGCTGTCTGTCTCAATAAAGACTTTTGTTCTTTGATATTTTTCTAAATGTTAGCGATGATAATGGTGGGCATAAACCAGAGCAAGGTCAATCAACATATCAGTGCAGTAAGAATTTACTTTGAACAGTTGACTGGTTGGTTTGAAAATCCCCAAACTAAGTGAAATATGTATACTTAAAACGATCTGATGCCAAACAGTTTGTTTGTTTTGTTTCGGTTTTATGTCACACCGTCTTAGTATAGGTCATATGGTGATAATCCAGCTTTACTGGTGGAGGAAGACCTCAGGTGCCCTTCTGTGCATTATTTCAGGCATGAAAGGGCACCAGAGTAGAACCAACAACGTTCCGTAAGCTAGCTGGACAGCTTCCTCACATGAAACAATCCAAAGTCCTCAAAATCTATAAATGAGCAAATAATGACCAAAATAACAATAGATTAATAGTTTATACTTTTTCTGTTTGCTTGGATCTACTGGTTTGTCCTGTGGATTGACCAACAAGTTCTCGTCACTTGCTATAATGTAATCATACAGGCCATCGTTAAACTGTCCCACAATATGACATCTGTAATTTGTAATACACAAATTAGTGATAAATAAGTAATATATTAATAATAAATTAGTAAACAACTATTAAAACAGACACAAGGTTTTCATGCTACATTTATTTCATGTATTTATATCATGTACATGTCAGATGTTCATGAATTAAAGAAGAAATTAACTTTCCACTTACAAGAAAAACATTTTTTGATATGAAATTTTCTTGTTTAATTATTATTGGAAAAAATGGCTGTTTCCTTGTATCCAGGAAGTAAATGGCCTTGTTTTTAGCAATCAATAGTAAACAGCTTGTACATTTTTTTTTTTAAAAACACATTGACAAATACCACCTACTCATCATCAAATGACAAAAAAAATAATGTTCAAGACTTGCTATTGTAGAAACATGATAGATCTGACTATTCAAAACACATGTAACAATATATTGAACAAATATTTGTTGCTTTCCTATTTGTTTTTACATGAATTTCTCATTATAAATAATAATTTTTTAAAGCATAACAAATTATAAACATACCTTGAATTTACAGGGAGTTCAGAGTTCAAAACACATGCTGGAATTCCAAACTGTTCAAGGAAAAGACGTAACCTGTGTGGAAAAAATGACATTTCAAAATTGAAACCTGTATGGAACAATTATTTGTTAAAATGGTATAACCCTTACTGAAACTGGGATTAGTAAATGATTAGTAAATGATAATATACAAATATTACTTTAAAAATGGTCACATTGACTCTGGATTCATGCTTATTTTCAAGAAAATTGTAAAAATGTATTTATAAGTAAAATACTGTGAAAGAAACAAAGAAACTAATTTATACATTGCAGACTGTACTTACAATCCACATAAATTGCCAAAAGGGGGTCACAATGTACAAAAATAGCCCTTACTGTGTTAGTTATAGAGTAGAATTATGGTGATATATACTGCAAAATCAGTCATTAAAGGTACTCCACTGAGGTACGGCCGAATGTCACAAAAAAAAGTAAAATTTCACGAACCGATAATTTTTTGTTACCTGCGTGTTAGGGACATTCAAACAGAATCAGTGATACATTGATATGTGTTCTTTGGATTGGCAAATCGTTTGAAATACATATTTTCTCCAATTTTGTAGGAAAAGCGTTTAAACACCTTTCAGTTTGCAAATCTGAATAAAAACAACGGTCACGTGATGATTGTCGGGATGACTAAAAAGCGAAACGGAGAATTTTTTGTGTATCGGCAGCAACGAAAGTGTGAAAGTGGAATATACCAACAATCCATAAATTTAAAAGCAAATTATGGGTTTGTTTGTTAAATTTCTTGTTGTTCACATATGTTCTTGTGAGAAAAATCTTTCAAAAGCAATTTCAATACATTTAAAGCATTACAGTGTTGTAATCATGTTTTTTTCTCCATTACAATGATGAATTTAGCTAAACGTACGGAGTTGGAAACGGACATACACAAATTTTACAAATATTCTATGTTAATTTGAGAGCTTTCGTGTAATTATTAAATATTATGTATTAACTTTGTAATGGTTAAAATATCCTGATATCTAGGCTAAGAAAATTTACTTTGTCAATCACTGTTATGGGTCCTATTTCAAAGGTCACTTTGGTTTATCTGACACCCGTCAGGAAAAAAACTTCGTAATACCTTTTATACAATTAACATGAACTTGAGTATTGTAAGCATAAAAATCACACGCACACACAGAATGTTATTCCAGAGATTTCTCTTTAACTCTGATCAAAGCACTGAAAGCACTGGCTAAATAGAGAATGAATCCGGCCTCATTAAAGGACATTTAGGCTTCAATTTTATTAGTTAATATTTCTTATGTATGTCTAGTGCATATTATTTATAATTAAAATTCTATAATGAAAAATCGATCTCCTTTGCTAGATAGATCTGAAATTTAATATTTATCATTTTACATACATACTAGCATAGTTATCCGCATTGGATGTAAACTTTGTTGATGAGAAGATTAATACGTTTTGATCTAGACATTCAAAACTATAGGTAATTGATACCTGTTTCATGCACATGGTAAACATTATCAAAAAGGTCTGAAAAGAGTTACAATCTGGCTCTATTAATATAATTATTATCATTATTGATTTAGCAGATATCCTGATTAATTTCTTTTTTATTGGAAGGCCTCCGTACTAGTGATGGGTCAATTGAGCTGTCCTTTAATGTTACCAATATATTGAAGCTTCCCGGTGGAAAAGAAATTGAGAGCGTTATAAGAGTAAAAAAGGAAAACTGGAATAAAGACAAACAAGGCGACGGTAACGTTCACAGGACGCAGCCCCCAACACAGTCAAGCTTCCACAGCAGGGCTATTGCCGTGACTAGTGAAATAAACTTAAAACTGATTATATAATTGTTGTTGTTTAAACCCTAACTTTCTTTCAAATTAAACGAAACAAACAAAATCATGATACTTGCAAGACAAATGTGAAGGGCAGGTAAGTAAAAGTAACTTTAAGAATTCAGTAAGATAATAGTAACCTCACCTCATACAACATCCATTGCTTAAACTATGTTTTATAATACTTCCAACTCCTAGACGGTATAAATTTGGGAAAGGGCAATGCATATCTTAACCATTGTTTTTACTCCTTATAGCCTGTTTATCTTGGCATACTCATTGCTAATAGATTTTTAAATATTTTGATAAAAAAGGTCAGGTTCATTTCCCGACTATTTTGAAAACACGAGTGACAGGTTTCAAAAATTGCAATGGCTAAATATTGATCGGGTGCATTTCATTGCATAACTAAGTTAGGAAGAGAACCCTGCTTTTCTTGCTTTATAGCACTAAAACCTTTACTTTTCTCTACTTTTGTCTCTTCTTTCTTCCTGTTTTCTCTTTTTTTGTTTAGTCTTTTTATTTACCACTTGAAAGCCTGAAATTAAATTTTTCATTGATAATTTAGCTGTGGTCCTGTGTTGCTTGGTTGTGTGGGTGTTGCATATATCTCTGACACAGCGGTTTCACGACAAACCTAACAACAAGCAGTTCTTAAAACAGCTGAAAACTAGCGATTTAAAAGAAAGAAATATTTTCATTTTGTTATAAGTATCCAACAAATTACAACGCATTCAAAGTTTAAAAGTAGCTTTGGGTTACAGAATTGTCAATAAATGCACATTCACAAATTACGCGGATGAATATCATTTTAATCAATGAAAATGCTATTTTAAGCGATGTCGAGAGCGTATTTCACAAATAAATCTGACTGTCGAGTAGTTGAATATATACATGTCGGAATGTTTTGGCGAGAAGATTTTTGTTAAATTATTTACATCAATGTTAAACAACAGGTTTTTCTTGAACAAAAAACCTCGAAACTAATAAGGATTACAAACCCGAAATGCAATGGAAAATCTAAATTTAGTATTACTTGATTTTATTCAGGCATTGTTCGTATATCTTCTCCGTGGTACAAGGGTAACGCGCTCGTTTAGTGTGTCTGGGGTTCAAATCCAATTCAAGGCAATTAGTTTTTATAAAGTTTCTTTGTTAAGGAAATAGCCACGATATGCAAGGATAAAGTATGACTGTCATAAAAATGAACATAAATGATTTTTTGATGCAACCATAGTCATGAAAAATTCCATATGTATCAAACTCTGGTACCAAGCAAGAAGAATTATAGTACATAATAAACTTATACAGGAAAATAATACAGTTTTAAAGTGCGATTTAGATTGCAAAGATCAGAAAATACCACAGAGCTTGCAGCCTTTTGATTTATCTTGTTTTTCGTATGTATGTTCTGGATATTAGGTAGGTGGTTATCGTAATACTTTAAGATTTATAAGAGTATGTATTAGAAGCCTTTCTGATTGTTTCGGAAATACTGGATATCGTTTTGAAAATTTATAGAGTTACTTAAGTATTTTTAAAACATGAACGAAAAATTTCACAGTAACAGGAATTAAAATTAATTCCTAAGTATTTCGGTTACAGAGATTAAACTGTAATCAAACGTTTAATGTCTCCTAAGAAATGTTCTTTGGAATTAAATACTAAGTGTAAGCACTTGAACATAAACAACCAGATTGCTTGCAAAATCTTTATCGGCAGGATAAATTGGTTCACAAAACATGATTTTTCACAGTCATGATCAAATGAACAGACTGTCATTTTCTTCCTGTTACCGAAAATACGAACAGACAGTCATTTTCTTCCTGTTACCGAAACAAACTCACCAGGAAGATTTCAATTAGAAGACACGTCACTGACAGAATGTTCTTAATATCTGAATAGAAGAGAATTTGCTAAAGCCAATTTATGAAAGAGAAATCGGGGTTGCTACTTATTAAATTATTTGCCCATAAAAGAGGGTTTATTTTACTCGTTTAGATTATTTTCAAAAACAAAAGTCGCAAAAAGCAAAGGTTAGCTGATATTAAGATGTAAACCGCGACACATAAAATTCATTTACCTGTGAAACTGGAGTGAAAATGTGTTAGTTTATCCGTTTTTTTTCTTCAGTGCCTTCAGCACTTTGATCTCATCTGTAGCACAAGTAATTTATATCGTTTTCACCGAAAAATCATTAAATTCTAAACAAGTTTCTAATAGAATCATAAACATTTATTGTATCATAGTTTGAAGACTTTTCTGTTGAAAACGAGTCAGAGTTAAATCGAATTCATATACATGCACAGTGCGTAACTGGAGTGCAGGTAATAGTTCCCAACACTCCAGAGCATGCCCATTGATGTACTCATTCTTTTTCTTTGGGGGGGGGGGTGCTTTTTTTGGAATAACGATAGAAATGCCACATTCTGAAGCTGGTTCATAGGTTTTTTTCTGGGGTTTAATATTGTTACAACAGGGAATGTGCATTTAATTTTGCCTATGGTATGAATATGATGTAATTGTGTGTGGAACGTGTATGTACGATCCTATCAAGATAGCCTACGAAACGTAACTCATTACATACACAGATGCCTGTTTGTGCCAGAAACAATTTTGCAAAGGGGGCACCTGAGTTCTTACTCCACCAGTAAAACTGAAGGGTCGCTAAAATGACCTACACAGTCTTGTGTGACGTAACCCCCACTACATCCCAAAAACAATCAAATCAAATGAGACATATCATTAACTGTATTTGATTTAAATACGTTATAGATAGTGTTAAATACATTTATTAGTGTGATTACACTGTGCTCGTTATAGTATAAATATCACCGATGCATTATGTTTACCTTAAAATATTGAAATTGAAACTGAAATGTCAATGAAAATAATTGTACATGTATATAATATCTTTCCGTTTTGTCTAGAAAATGTCCGCTTCGCTGGCGTTTGTTTTTTCAAGACAACGAAATTGCTACCTTGATTATCTTTTATACAGTTTTTCTTCGTTATACTTAAGTTATATAAACATGTCAGATAGGTTAGAGTGAAGAGAAAAAATCAATAACCTTTTTTTACCCCCGTTTACTCTGTTGTTCCAAAAATGTCCGTTGCGTATTTTAGTCATACCCGATGAATTGTGGGTAACTTCTGTACATGTCTGGGAAAGCCAACTTCCATTTTTGCATCAAAAGCTAATGTGAATATGCATTTTCTAGCATAATTGTTGTTAGAGGGTTGGTTAAAGTGTAAGTTATTGTTATTTTAGTTATAATATTGTGATTTGTGAAGAAATTTGTTTACATTTTTTTTGGACACCAAATTACCTGTCAGACCTCAGTGTAGCCCCTTTAATCGCATATCATAATTATGTAAATTATTACTTGAATCTTGAATCATTTTACTTTACTCAAAATCTTAGTTTCATTTTTCTCAAGTTTAATTTTCTTAAAATATTTAAGCTTATCTGGATACATGCAGCTTTAAACAATGAATATAATATATGTAGCAGTGACTTAATGGTCCACACGCCTGTTTTGAAACTAATGTTTGTGGGTTTGAGTCCTGTTGGCATCAAAATTAGTTCTCATACAACACTCCCAGTACTTGGTTCACGGGTCGAACTTAACAGTACAGAAAATAAGCTCAAAATACCAAGTATAAATCAAAAGGTTAAAACTAATGCACTCCTGAACATTTTCAAAGAGTCAAAAGTTATATTACAGAGCTTGTGTATCATTATCAAAGCTGACTTACCTAACTGAATGATTTTAAAAATAGTTTCGAAGTTGTTTAAATTTATTGACTTTTTACAAAATGACAAAAGTTCAATTAAAAAAAAAAAACTTTAAAAATTATCTCCCTTGTTAACTTTAGATATTATCTCCCTTTATAGAGATAACAACTATTATGGTTAGCTAAACAAACTTATACTCACTTGTAACATCTGTCTACATTATTCACGAATAAAATAGTTTTTCCCCTCACAAGTCGCAATTTGAGCAATGCGTAAATCAAAGCAAATTTGTCCTCTTCACTGCACCTAAAAACAGACATAGCAACAGCATATGAGCCGCGTCACAACAAAACCATCATAATGGGTTTGCGACCAGCATGGATCCAGACCAGCCTGCGCATCCGCGCAGTCTGATCAGGATCCATGCTGTTAGCTATCTCTTTCTCTACTTGTTATAGTGTCTGTAAGCAAACAGCATGGATCCTGATCAGACTGCGCGGATGCACAGGCTGGTCTGGATCCATGCTGGTCGCAAACCCATTATGTTGGTTTTGTCATGGCACGGCTCACATGTTTAAATACATACAAGTCCTTATGGTAAGGAATAAGTTGGCCAGAACAACAGACTGATATAGATCATGACTTTATTGTTATTGACAAACACAGTGGCGGCTTGGCCGAGTGGTTAACTCGTAGAACTAGTAATCTAAGGATTGCTGGCCCCGTGGGTTCAGAACCAGTCAGGGCAACCATCGTTACCTTGAGGAAGAAACTTTACATTCATTGCTTAGTACTGGTTGGTTCCAGGAACGGATTCGAGAGTCTTTCAATAAGCTTATAGCTTCCAAAATAATCAAACTAAAATAAATTTGTATCAATAAAACTGACAAAGATTATAGATTCACTCAGTTTATATAAAAAGAAATATTCTTACTTTATATGATACTGTGTAAGTTGAGATGTCTCAGGAAGTTGTGACTCATTCAATTTCAATATCACCTGTAATTACATAATGCAATATGTTGTACTTGTATGTATTTATATCACTTGCTAAATTTTTCAAGCTCTTTTTCTTTTTGATCATAATAATACTTTGAATACTAGCAGTAAAAAAGATTTGTCTATGCCACCAGAATACAGCGATGTCAGACTGTAAATTCCTGCAATTTTACAATTTCACCCAGATTCATAATAATTTTCACAAAAATTTTGAAAATGTATTAAAAAATAAAAAAATTGTGAAGTGAACAAAGAAAGTTATTGACACATTGCAAATGGCACTTAAAATCCAAGTGAAGTACCGACAATAGGGCCAAGATGGCCCTAGATCGCTCACCTGACCCATCAAACTCATCTGAACAATTACCTAGACAAGCATTCTGACCAAGTTTCATGACAGGTTAGTCAAAAATGCGACCACTAAAGTGTTAACAAGGTTTTTCTATTTTTAGCTCCTGTGACCTAGTTTTTCATCCTAGATGACCCAAGTTCGAACTCATCCAAGCTATTACCTAGACAAGCATCCTGACCAACTTTGATGATGATATAGTCAAAAATGTGACCACTAGAGTGTTAACACTGTTTTTCTATTTTTAGCTCCTGTGACCTAGTTTTTCATCCGAGATGACCCATGTTCGAACTCATCCGAGCTATTACCTAGATAAGCATCCTGACCAAGTTTGATGATGATTGAGTCAAAAATGTGACCGCTAGAGTGTTAACAAGGTTTTTCTATTTTTAGCTCCTGTGACCTAGTTTTTCATCCGAGATGACCCATGTTCAAACTCATCCGAGCTATTACCTAGATAAGCATCCTGACAAAGTTTGATGATGATTGAGTCAAAAATGTGACCGCTAGAGTGTTAACAAGGTTTTTCTATTTTTAGCTCCTATGACCTAGTTTTTCATCCGAGATGACCCATGTTCGAACTCATCCGAGCTATTACCTAGATAAGCATCCTGACAAAGTTTGATGATGATTGAGGCAAAAATGTGACCGCTAGAGTGTTAACAAGGTTTTTCTATTTTTAGCTCCTGTGACCTAGTTTTTCATCCGAGATGACCCATGTTCGAACTCATCCGAGCTATTACCTAGATAAGCATCCTGACAAAGTTTGATGATGATTGAGGCAAAAATGAGACCACTAGAGTGTTATGTGGACGGACATTCAATGATCCTAAAAGCTCACCCTGAGCTAGCTTAGGTAGCAATCTGCCTGTTTAAACAGAACTAATTACCTGGATAGAATAACAAAGTTTATTCAGGCTGCACAATTGTGCAATTTTAACCCAACAATACATGTATGCAATTGAATACTAAACTGAAGTATTTATTTTTTGTTATGAATAAAAAAAATTGTCACAAAAAAACAAACAAACACTTAAAAGCAACAATAAACTTTGTCAATTGTTTTGTTCGTTTCATTTTACGCCTTTTTCCAACAGTATTTCAGTCATATAGGCGGGTAGTTTCCTAACCATCGTTCCTGGAGAGTAACACCAGTACTAGACTATCTTTCTCCTCGCTAAACTACCAAAGTATCTCCCAGGGATCGAACCCACGCCAGATTAGAGGGTAACTGGATTAGAAGTCATCGACTCTAACCCCTCGACCATGGAGGCAGTATAGACTTTGTCAAAATCACTGAACAAGACTGTTTTATTAATAAATATATTCAGCAGAGAAGCGCTATGGCTTACATGTTGTAATTTCTTTTGTTTTTTTGTCATATCAACACGGTATATGGTGACTTTCCAGCTTTACTGTTGGAGGCAGACCGTGCATTATTTCAAGCACAAACTGGCATCTCAGTAGAAACACCTATATTCTGTAAACTAGCTATATAGCTTCTTCACATGAAAAGAATCCAAAGTCCCTGTCGCGATTGTTGTAAGTTGGACTGAAATTGCATAAGTATCATGTTACTTTGTCTTGGTTTGAATGATAAAGCTCCACTTGTTAATTAACAGATGAATGAACTTTTCAAGAATCTCGACATTCCCTATAAAATATGAGTCAAACTACACAAATATCCCTCACTTATTGCATAGTCTAAATACAGCGCGTTTAATTCAGCACTATATAAAGGAAGTGGGCACAATGAATTAGCACTGTAAAAGTATGACATTATGCATTGATCTTCAACAGAACTAATAAATTATACTTTTAGCAGTTTATACTCCAAGTTGGTCTACTTTGTACCATATAAAAGACTAATAACCAAGGACATTTCTATTCTTGGCACCAAAACAATCCTAGCATACCAGAACTCATTATCAAATAATACCTGATGAACTTTTATTTCAAAAGAAAACCATTCCTCTACTAGAACATTGCTGTCTGGGTTTTAAAGCTCTTAAAACTCTTTATAAAAAGCAATTTAAAAAAAACAACCACAAAAGTACGCAAGCAAAACATAACGTAACATAACATAATAATGTAGGATATTACCAACACTTGGAAATACATGTATTATGGCTAGGGAAATTCTTGTGATTTGTTGTACATTACTTTAGTGACACTTTCTGGCTGGCAATTATCTTCCAAGCTACATTGAATCTTGGGTTTTACATAAGTACTTATCCTTAAAAACCTGCTTGACTTCTTTATATGAGCCGCGTCGCGACAAAACCAACATAGTGGGTTTGCGACCAGCATGGATCCAGACCAGCCTGCGCATCCGCGCAGTCTGATCAGGATCCATGCTGTTCGCTTACCAACTCTATTACAAGTGGAGCAACTGACAGCGAACAGCATGGATCCTGATCAGACTGCGCGGATGTTGTGACGCGGCTCATATTTGTCCTGCTCTGAGTTTAGAACAGTCTGTTTGAAAGAAATGGGATTTCAAATATGAAATACAAAATTTGACCTAACAACAGTATAGACCCTGGTCTAACAGTACAGAAGAGCAGACTGACTTGGTTCTATACTGGCGACAAAGGCTAATCACTTTTGGTTTCCAAAAGTTTATCCGCTAATAAATTATTTAATTATTCTGCAAGTAACTGAGAACTTCTATCCTAGGACTGTATACCTAAGACATTCCTTATCCAGCTCTAACCTTTCCTGTTGTTTTTATATATTAAGCTGTCTTTTTACGTTATTTAAAAACAAACTTTGAGACAAACGCATGACATGATCTCATTGATCAAATCTCTATAGACTAACATGTGCAGATAGATGAAGATTTAGTGGTTTTGAATCATTTAGCTCTTATGATATTACAACTTTTAGCTTTATGTCTTCAACAGATTCTACTTATGTGACCAATACAGATCAATATCAGCCGGCCTATATTTATGGACTGATATCATGGTTTGCACTGTATGGTATTCTGTCAGTTTATTATAAAATTTTCTCTAAAAATGATAAATGGTTATGTCCAGTATGAGAAACAAACACCTGGACAAGTCCATTTTATATATTTCAGTTGATAAGGGTATGATACATACAGCATTGTGTAGAACCATCTTCTTTAGGGCTTTAACATCATCACCGAGTGTAGCTGACATTAGAAATGCCTGGTAAATCTTTGGCATATGTCTGAAATATAGAGAGAACATTATAAACAAGATAATGCATTGCTCAAATACTGTGAATAAATTACCATAAATTGCAAAAATACATATACATGTATTTATAAAAGTCTCTAGTATGTCCAAGATGCATAAAAACTGTGCACCCATGTATACAATTATAGGGAAGAAAATACCCATGTGTGGAAAAGAAAATGCAATAGTGGGGCTTTGTTGCACTTTTTAAATATGCCTGACTCAGGGGCCCTATTTACTAAGAGTTCACTGTAATGAAGGCCCTAGTAGCTTCATTATCAAAACATACTTGTCAAAAGACAAGGCACTAGTACGTGAAAAGAAAGAAGCTACCAGTTTCATTGAAAGAAAAACAAATAATAAAACACTGAAGTACTGTATAAGATGTATACTTCAGGCAAGAAAAGCGCTTATGTACCATTTTTTAGTGTATTAGATATTACCATCACTCTCCAGAAGCCATTGCATAACAGTCTATAGAGGCATTTAGACTTTATTATCAAAGAGAAACTCATGAAATCCCTTTGTGCAGCACTTTCTGATATGATTCAAGTAATAAGTCAGTACCACTTAATTCTGTAAAAAGTTAAACCGGATGTTCTTTATGAAATACATAGTTCAACTATGAGTTTAACATATTCCTATCTCTTAACTTTCAATGATGCAAGGGACAAAACTTTAACATGCCAATATCTAATATGTTCAAGTGTTGTTCAAGAGTTGTAGTTACTTGTGGGAGAAAAATTTCTAATCTTTCTAGAACCACAAAGTAATTAGCCTTTGCCACCAGTAAAGTCAGGTAAGCCAGCAAATCTTTGTAGTCTGACAAGGTTCTATCCTGTCGATGGCCAAAATTCTAATTTTCATCTTGATATCTCTAAAATCGATAATGGACAGTTCCAAAATTGGCTGCCGGACAAGTCCATTTAAGAAATTCAGGGTTGATAAACAATTTACCCGAGAATGGCTTTAACATTATCCTCATAGCCAAAGGAGAAGACGAGATCAGCTTCATCTATTACTATCATTTCTAGTGACTGTTTAATGTTTAAATTTCCCGCCTCAATGTGTGCCAGCAGACGACTTGGAGTACAGACAACAATGTCCGGTTTTTCAGATAACATCGGTCTGAAACAAATTTTACAAGTGAAAAATCAAATTTCAAACATCCAGGTTTTAAAAATAATTATGATGCATGCTTAATGTAATATAGATACATTAGAAAGACTTAATAAAAACCTTCTTATATTTATCTCAATGCAAATTCTATATCCGCTTGGAGTCAGTTCCCAATTTTTACAATATTTACCTCCCTTGCCAAAAGTGGCAACCATTTTGGAAGTCAATCTTTTACATGTATATAACATAAGTGATAAGTATGAAAAAATCCATAAACAGCTGATTTTGGTTACTTTTCAAATACCTTTATACATATGAAGGAAAATATTATTACAGCACCAACATGTTAAAGACTTTTATCAGTTTTAATGAAGATGGGAGATTTTTATCTTATCTTAGGCATATAATATATTGGAAATGACCGTCATAAGGGAAGGCAATAATTGCTATTTGAAAAACATGTTACATCTATACCAAAATACACCAAAAATATCATAAAATCTGAATATTTCAGAGGAAGGAATGATCAGATTACAAAACCCACCTTTGTGTAGGTAATGGTACTTGTGGGGAGATATCAACACATCTAATTTCACGTGAACATGATGTTGTTAGTTCCTGAAATATAATTAAGCAAATGAGCCGCGTCACAACAAAACCAACATAATGGGTTGGCGACCAGCATGGATCCAGACCAGCCTGCGCAGTCTGATCAGGATCCATGCTGTTCGTTATCAGTTTCTCTACTTGTTATAGAGTTTATAAGTGAACAGCATGGATCCTGATCAGACTGCGCTAAAAGCGCAGGCTGGTCTGGATTCATGCTGGTTGCAAACCCACTATATTGGTTTTGTTGTGACGCGGCTCAAATGTATGAACCTTGTCTACCATAGCAGTCATGATGACTTGTTTCACCAGAATAAATCACATGCACCCTTCTTATCAGTAAGGTGTGACCCAGTTTAAGATCTTCATTCTAAAGTTATTTATGAAAAAATATGGGCCCTGCAAATTCCTTTGACGTGTAATACCTTTAAACTTTTGAAAATCATGTACTCATTCCTTATCCACTTTCAAGAAGGCAATAGCAACCACAGGTTTGGATTAATTAAAGGTCATGAGGTGACATCAAATTGGTGATCATCAGGTCACTTATTGAAGCATTACTGAGGAGCTGATTTTTATCAGATTCAGTATGACCATACCTCATACAGATAACTAATTCAACAAAAATGTGAAGTTTTAAGTAAAAAACTTCAATGGTTATTTAATAATAATGAACAAAGCAGTTAGCTCAAATTAATCTCAGTCTTGTTATTGCAAAACAAACCTTTATTACTGCAAAACAAACAATGTTTCCTGATCTGTGGGCAGAAAAATGTTGCTTCTTTCTGAAGGCTATTTACAGGGCTGCATTAGAGCTTTTCATGAATGCATTTATATTTATTTAATGATCTAAGGGAAGTAACTCTTACTTATATCATAATTAAAGCTACAAGAGTTACAACAATAAAAATGGTTTAAGAATTTTATCACATTGCTTTATTTCCATTTAATGCTCATAGAATTTGTACTGTACAATAACATTATAAATATTTAAAACTTAGCAACATATTTTATTTCTATTTACTTAAAAAATAATCTTAATATCAAGTTCTCAACTACAAGTATGTCTATCAATTTTTCTTCAATTGTATTTAAAAAAACCAAAACTTAACAACGTTTTCTTTTATAACTCAATGAATTAGATTAAAAAGAAGAAGAAAAAAAATGTAATGTCCCTCAAAACCATCAGAATATTTGAAATATAAACAAAATATAAAAATATAACTTACTTGTATGTTTTTATGGGCCTGGCTACACAGTTCCTTTGTAGGGGTTAGTATAATTGCTTTAACACTTTGTTCTGTGGCCGTCTGAAACAAATAAACAGTGAATCTTTAAAAATACATTAAATTTTTTGTTTTAACCCTTTACCAGTTGATTTTCTTTAATATATGGACATATCTAACTGTCATTTTTTGCACTGTCAATTATCAACTTTGGATTTCCACCCCTCCCCCTTTTTTAGTTAAGTTTACGCTGCCACAACACTGTATAAATTATATGGCAAGAACAGGCACCTGAGTAGAACCACCAATCTTCCATTAGCTAGCTGGATAGCTTCCATACATGAAAGAATCCAAAGTGCCTGTCAAGATTAGAACCCACAGCTGTGACAGGCAAGTGGTTTGAAGTCAACAACCTTAACCACTAGACCATGGATGTCCCTTTGGGGATATGAAGATGAAAATTTCAAAAAACACAATCAACAGTAAAAACAGTAAAGACCCAGGTAAGACTGCAAGGATGTGCGAGCTGGCCTGGCTCTATACCGGACACAGAAGCTAATTATTTTTTCATTCTAGCCAGTTAAAGGTTAAAGACAATATTGTAACAAAGTAAAAGAACATACAAATAGCCATTTATCAAAAACATAACACCGAAAACATTTTATTCTTGGTTTTAATTTCAAAAATAATTAAATGCCAATATATATTCACATTTTGTATAACTGAAATAATAAACCGTTCAAACAAAATTTTGCAGGCACAAGTCTTTGCAAAGGTTAATTACTATTTCAAAATACCTGTTTTGAAGATAGAATTTTCTGGATAACTGGAATTACAAATGCACCAGTTTTTCCTGATCCGGTACGGGCTTGGGCTAACACATCTTTGCCTTCAAGAGCCAATGGAATTGCACGTTCCTGAATTGGAGTAGGACTTGACCAGCCTAGCTTGGAAATGGCCTGAAAATGAAAGATTGGTTAATTAAACAAAACAAATCTGGTGGTGTCCCCAAGTGATCCCTGGGGTTCAAACCCTGTAAGAAACTTGACACTCATGGTTTAGTATTGGTTGTTTCCTGGAACGGATTTAAGAGTGTGTCTATAACTATAAGTTTTATATAGCAAATATAATATTCTGTATATAAAGTAAGTTATATTTGTTGAAAAAAACATGGCAAATTTACAAAAAGTATCATGGACAAAATGTGCTTTAAGAAAGATAACAAATTGTTGTAAATGGCTCAGATTATGATTTTACCATCAAATGTAAAAGAAAAATAGCGTCTACTTTTTTTTCGAGGTAGCACGTTAACATATAAAAGTATTAGAAGATTTGACATGACTTAATTTCATTTTAATAAAAATAAATTAATTATATCAAGGTTGCAACTAGCTGATTGTAGAGAAATTCAAACTTAACTTGTGTTCTGATATTATATACTTCCATGCCAAATATAAACACATTTAATAGGAAAATTGCTGGAAAAAGAAAATTACTCTTTCAATAAACTAAAACTTAACTTGTGTCTTGAAACAATATAGTATTACTTGCGTAACAAAAATCAACAAAATCATTTAAATCCTTCATAGGTCATTCTGCTGAAACCAATAATTTAACTTTAAAAAAATTGCTTAAAAATAGGCATAGCTCTATAAATAATGAGTTGATTGCAGCAAAAATGCAACTTGGCCTCACCTGTCTTTTAATATTACAAACTTAGGCTGTCCTTAAAAAAATGTTTGTTTGCAGTAACCCGACCCAGAATTTTCAAGGTGGGTAGGTAGGTCGCTTTATTTTTTTTTTATTGAACTGTTCTCCCAAATAAACATGGAATTTCAAAATGCTGGACAATATATGCTTTGATAATCTGGTAACAATTAATAAATTGATAACTGAATTCTAATTTAATAAGAACTACATTTTATTTCTTCTATTAACCTTTAAAAGAACGAAAACAAAGCACAAGGCATAATTTTCTAATTCAAAAAAAATAATAATTTTTTATCCAGACCATGAAAAAAAATTTAGTAGGGGCAAATTTTGTGAGTCTGTCGCGTTACTGCAAACAAACATTTTTTTAAGGATGGCCTTACATACTAAATATAAACATTAAATCACTGAAATCCTTTAAAAGTTATTCCGCAGAAACCAATAATTTCTCTTAAAAATAAACACAGTCAATTAAATCCTTCAAAAGTTGTTGCAAAAGCAAATTGTCTGTGGACAGAATTACAAACTGACATGCGACCAAACTGGGGTAAGGGGCAATTTCTTTTGTTCAATAGAGGCCTATTAGCCTCTTCTTCTATTGTTACTGAATGAACTCCATTGTTGACAGTTCTGTTTACAGTTTGATGACCCCTATTTCTTTTCAGTCCTGCGGAAAGGATGGACAATGCCATACCATTATATTTATAAATCCTGAAGGTCTTTGGGATTATAAAAAAGGGTTCAAAATTTCAAAATTGCTCTTATTCAAATTTCCTCCAGACACCAATAACTAAAAGTAACAATATCTCTTGACGGTTCAGGATCAGTGATTTTTTCACTGTATTTTACAGCGGAATAAAGGCTGTTTCCCCTAGCCCAAAATAGCTTTATTTTCCCCTAAAAATGCTAATATTTTCCCCTAAAATGCCTCATGCTCTTCCTTACCAGAACCATGACTAAACAGCATCTGACTTATATCATCTAGAAGAAAGAAAGCATCCCTATAGATAGCCACTACTATGTACCATGCATGTTAAATTGAATTGAAATTATTATTTTTTCATAAAATGTGTGGGCAAATCTTTGGGATTATAAATCAAAGCACTGAATGTACTGATGGGGAGGCTATGAGAGAATGTTTCAGACTTATAGTTTCTTTTCTTTTTCCTTAAAATGTGCTACCAAAATAAAAAGATATGCACATTGCGCTATTTATCCTTACTGTTGTGTTCAACCATTCATATATATGGTTAATGTGGTTGACTATTCATTTTGTTAATATTCCAGAACATTTCATTGAGGTCTACATTCGGACTGTTAATCATGCAAATTTTGAAAAACCTAAACTGTCAATAATAAATGACATACCAGCAAGTATGACGACTGTTCATTATCAGATAACAATAACATTTTACAACTGACGGTTCCTTATCAAAATATTCTAGGACTGTTCATCATAAATACTTTAGATCTATGTCATTTTAATATTATTGAATGATAATAACAACTGCAAGTGATGCAACATTTTTATTGAACATAAAAATTATACACATTTAGATGTACCATAATTGAGATCAATAAGATACTGTCTTGTGATGAGTATTAATATTCATGCTATACGGACAGAAGGTTGTCTTCTCCAGAAGCAAATCTCGAATAAAACCACGTTTCAGAAAATTATTCCCATTTCATTACTGACGGCGTCGGATAATATTAAAGCTAAATATTTCTTGAAAAAATACATATCTGCAAAGCTTATTCAAAACTGAATCAACCTAAGTGAAAATTGATCAGGAAGTTATATCTTCTTTTTTTACCGCCAACACTCAACCAACTTATGGTAGTTCAATCGATAGATTCTACGTGTATTTTTAAACCTCACTAGCTTGAAATATATACTGCGGAAAATCTGTTGTTAACAGGGTGTGCGGTTATTACGTAGGGTTTTCCCTGTCGACCATTTCCCGCAAATAGATGAGAACGTCGAAGCCGTCAGTGCTATGAATGGTGTTATAAATGGCGTGTTTGGAAGTTTTTGTTGAAACTTCTCCAAATCCCTCCAGAGGCGTGCACGTCGCGGAGAAGGCACACGGAAGGTCATAGTCAAGTCATCATAAGTACCAGAGATGATTGGTTGACCTGTCGTGACTTACTCTGGAGGTTTGGCGCTAATAGATGCCGTTTTTGTTGTCGTCAGTCAGAAAGTTGATGCCTTGACGGTATTGTCGTCTCCTTTACCACCAAAGAACGAAAAATGGGCTTCCAGGAAGAATCAGCTTGAAAAAGACGTCCCAGATGCTATAATCTCGGACATATGGTTATTCCGGCGCCGAGTATAAATAAACTTAAAACACACACACTTTTGTTGAAAACAAAACAAAACAAGAGGGCCATGATGGCCCAAAGTCGCTCACCTGTATATAGGCCCCCGGAGCGAGCCAGTTTAAACCCAAGGGCTTTTATTTGAAAAAACTTGGTTGACACCCATTAGAAGATATTTCATGCTAAACATCTAAGGTCTAGCTTATTGGGTTTTTTAAAAGAAGATTTTTTATGTATATATATATATATATATATATATATATATATATATATATATATATATATATATATATATATATATATATATATATATATGTATATATATATATATACATATATATATATATATATATATATATATATATATATATATATATATATATATATATATTATATATATATATATATATATATATATATATATATATATATATATATATATATATAAGTGTGTGTGTGTGTATGTATGTATATATGTATGTATATATGTATGTATGTATGTATGTATGTATGTATGTATGTATGTATGTATGTATGTATATATGTATGTATGTATGTATGTATGTATGTATGTATGTATGTATGTATGTATGTATGTATGTATGTATGTATATATGTATGTATGTATGTATGTATGTATGTATGTATGTATGTATGTATGTATGTATGTATATATATAATATATATATATATAAATTACATATGTATATATATATATATACATATATATATAAATATATGTGTATATATATATATATGTATGTATATATATAATATGCATATATTTAAAAAAAAAAAGTCGAGCTAATGAATGACCCCCGGGACGGGGCCAATTTTGACCCCAGGGCTCTTATTTGAACGAACATGGTAGACATCCATTAGAACATGTTTCATGCTAAATATCTTAGCTCTAGCTCTTTGCATTCTTTAAAAGAAATTTTTTTAAGTTTTTACTATATGCATATAGGGAAAATCAATGACCCCCTGGGGCGGGGCCAATTTTGACCCCAGGGCTTTTATTTGAACAAACTTGATAGACACCCATTAGAAGATGTAAATATCTTAGCTCTAGCTCTTTGGGTTCTTTAAAAGAAAATTTTTTAAGTTTTTACTATATACATATAGGGAAAATCAATGACCCCCAGGGCGGGGCAGATTTTAATTCTAGGAACAAAATTTGAACAACTTTGGTTTTGGACCTATAGATGATACCATAGACCAAATATCAAAGCTCTAGGCCATTTACTTTCAGACCAGAAGATTTTTCAAGTTTTCACTATATGTATATAATGAAAATCAATGACCCCCGAGGGCGGGGCCAATTTTGACCCGAGGGCCATTATTTGAACAATCTTGGTAGAGGTCTACCACACAATGTTTCATGCCAAATATCTTACCTGTAGCCTTTGCCAATTCAGAGAAGAAGATTTTTTTATGTTTTACTATATACATATTAGAAAAACCTATGACCCCCCCGGGCGGGGCCAATTTTGACACTAGGGACAAAATTTGTACAACTTTGGTATTGGACCTTCAGATGATACCATAGACCAAATATCAAAGCTCTAGGCCATTTACTTTCAGACCAGAAGATTTTTCAAGTTTTCACTATATGTATGTAATGAAAATCAATGACCCCCCCGGGGCGGGGCCAATTTTGACCCTAGGGCCATTATTTCAACAATCTTGATAGAGGTCTACTACACAATGTTTCATGCCAAATATCTAATCTGTAGCCTTTGCCAAATCAGAGAAGAAGATTTTTTTAGATTTTACTATATACATATAAGGAAAAACCTATGACCCCCCGGGGCGGGGCCAATTTTGCCACTAGGGACAACATTTGAACAACTTTGGTAGAGGACCCATAGATGATACCATATACCAAAAATCAAAGCTCTAGGCCATTTACTTTCAGACCAGAAGA